GCTTATATTCCTGTTTCTTCCCCCCTCTCCGCCTGTTAGAAAGCAGCAGAGTTTTAAATTGTGGTTTCCTTCTCTGTTTATTTTTCTCCCTGCAGGCTACGGGTCATTAGCGTTATTGATGGACACTCAGAGCGGCGGGGCACATGGTTTTAATATGACGGGTCTAATCAGGACAGGCGTGGTGGCAGAACATCTTGGCGTCTGTGAGTGAAATCATCTCATTCTTCGCTCATTGGGTAGATCAGAAAGAACCGAGGAGTACAGTCGAGACGTTTGGAACAAATTAAACTTAAAATGCACGCTTTAGTAACAGCCAATCTGATTATATGAATTTTATGATGCTCATTATATCATACCGGTCATGTATTCATGTGCACTCACTTGAATCAGTGGTCTGTTCAGTGGCTCCATGCTTTTTCTTCCATGTTAAGCGCCATCCAGTGGTGAATTCACTCATTTGCACCCACTTATGTGCAGTTTAACTTCACCATAGTTTCTAGTGCTGCACACATTATGTTGCATCCAAACAGAGGATGTCTTCACACAGATTCAGAGTGTGGGAGAGTTCCCTGATACGCATCTCTTTTGCAGCTTTCGACATTTAACATTTATTTTTCCAGCCAACAACCTAACAAATGGTGCAGGACGTGCCGGAATGAATTCCCCCTCTTTCTTTTATCTGAGCCGACAGCTTCGTCAGCTGAAGTTCAAAAACACTGTGGCCTTCTGGGAGATCTGGTTCAACGCAGAGGGGCAGTAGTTATCTCTGAGACTGCAAACTGAGGCAGTTAAGTGATAGAATCTCCTTTTGCAAAGAGTGGCTTATGCTTAATTACAGCCAAAAAGTACCCATGATGCGATCTTACCTTTTACGGGCTATTACATCTGCAGTTTCCCTCACCCTTCTCCCTCTCCCTCGCTGCTGATGAGCCAGCATGCAACAACAGTCGGCCTTTTTTCCCTCCAAAAGCCTTTCTGCACAAAGAGCATCTTTGTTCATGAGCTTGTAATAAAACAAAAGTGGTTTTATAAGTGCTGAGATCATTTTGAGTAAACCATGTCTGAATCAGCTTCTTTTCCCTATGAGCATCTCAAATCAAAGGAAGAAAGACCATGCAAACGTTCCAGTTAAGTTGTTTTTTCTTGTTTTTCTTGAACTAGGAAGTTTCCAAACATGACCATGATGAGAGATGATCAGAAAGGAGTTTAATGCTTCCTTTATAATCTCCTTTAGTTTAGGATACACTGGACCATCCTTTATGAAAGGAAAGGAGAAAACCATATCCCACAATGCCTTGGGGCCGCAATGTTTCTAGTGACGCACCATTCGGCCGTTCACGGAAACAAATTGTCGTGAGAAATGGATCATGTAAGTAATGGTGCTTTTTAAATTAATAAGTCATGCATATATTGCAAAAACACATTATTAATTTTTAAAAAATCTTAAAATCATACTATGAATTTGGATTCATGCTGATTAATATGAGTGGACAGGAGGTAGAGCATGAGCAACCGTTTCCTTTGACTTTCCCTTTCGGTTTTTTAACATGAAAATCCATCTGGAGATGATTCCACAAAAACGTGCAGCCTTGGCCAGAAGGAGACAATGTCCAACGTTCATCGGGTGTTTCGACCCTTAACCTTTCACTTGCAGATTGAATGAAACACCAAAATAATGCATGGGATGAATAATTTAGATTCTCTTTGTAGTGAAATTAATAATAACATCAACTTTGCACATAATAATTACATCGCAAAGTGAAAGTGAAGTCAGATTTTCTTAGCACCCACAGTTTTGTTTTCCTAAGTTCTGATGGATTCTACTTAACATCTTACTTTTCTCCCTAAGGTTAAGGAAAAGTGGTTTGGAAAAGACATAGAATAACCCTAAACCCCAAACCCTAACCCTATTTCTTTTGACAATTCCACCGTAGCCAAGATTTGGCTTCGACCTGCGCTAATTTTCGATCTTACACTTCAGATAAAGATGGGCATGCCAGCTGTTCTTAGTGGCACCTCTATGTGCAGGTTTGATGGGCGGAGCAGTGGCCACCCAGCGCTCCGTGGATGGATGGCCTCTCTGGGCCTGTTTGACTGGAAACAGGTGTGTCATCTGAAGATGAAGGCCGGGCCGATAAACATTATTGGAGAACATCTGCTGCTTGTCACAACACAGGGCGAGCAGGAGCGGCCTCCCATCCATCAGCCACACCGGAGAGAGTGGGTGAGGGGGGGGGCTCCATCCTCCATCACTCACCCCGGGATGCTGGAGCATGTTCGGTCCAGGCACCTGCCTCTGCCCGCCCCCTTTGGCCCATAGAGGAGAACATGCTCCAGCGCACTTGAAAAATGCCTTAGGGAGAGCACTTGCACTCTGACACACACACACACACACACACACACACACACACACACCTTTCACACCACCAGTGGACCCTGCTCAGGTGCCTCTCACACCCCCACCCACTTTAGACTACTGTCAGGGAGGCCTTAAAGCTTGACCCTTCTCTGGTTGATGAGAGATGCCTGGTAGTAGCCGCGTGTAGAAACACACACTGATATATCCACACACACACACACACACACACACACACACACACACACACACACACACACACACACACACACACACACACACACACACACACACACACACACACACACACACACACACACACACACACACACACACACACACACACACACACACACACACACACACACACACACACACACACACACACACCACACACACACACCACACACACACACACACACAGGATCCCATAGGTCTCCATGACAGCTTGCAACCCTCTCTCCACCTTACGTCCATACCTTACTGCACCCTCCCACCCCACTCAAAGAAATCAATACCATGCAACACTGCATTCAAAACACACAATTCAAAAATAGACGTTTAAAAGCAGGTGTTTTTTGGGGCCGTTTAAGACACATGGACGCAATAAAGAAAAGACCATGGAAATGATGACAGTAAAATTCGAGTTTATCAATTTTACACAGACGAAATGTCATAATGTAGCTCCACTGACAGGAAATGAGCACAGTAGGTTATGACTGATATAAGTGACCTGAGATAGTATACAAATACAGTTTTTACAAATAAGACGCACCCTTATTTAAATGCACAAGTGTAGTGTTGATAGCAGTTGTGATATGGGTCTTTTCAATATTGTGCAACCATAAAAACGTGAACAAATACTGCAGAAAAAGTATTAACAACATTTGATGCTTGTCTATAAGACTCAAACAAAGTGTATCAGCTGCTGACTCAATAAACACAGATCTGAAAGAAGTGCAATGTCTGCAAGTTTTGCCCGCAGTATTTCGCGACCAGCACACCGCACTGCAATAAGAAAACCCACAATCAATGCTAATAAATGGAGAGTGTTTCTGACGCTGGTGGTAAATTAACTATGTTCATTCAGATACCATGAGCCATGCTGAAATAACTTATGGATAGGCAATATCTTAATGGGCTTTCGTAAAAGGTGTAGGGACAATGACAATAAGTGAAGGGTTCTTTTTCTTGTGAAATAATAACATTTGTTTAGAATAATCTATAAACCAAGAGACCAATGATCTGAGTTTGTCATGGAGCCTATTTTCTCCACTGCTTATGTCATTTTTCTTTGTCAATGTTGGTCATCTGCTCGAAGTTTATAGAAATAAACGTGTAATGTTTTGGTTTTTTGGGGGACTTTAACTCCCTACCGACCTCATACTTCAAGAAGAAGGCGTGCACTTCCCCTTTAAGAAGTCTTTTACTAATGTAATGTCCAAAATAAGTAAATGTTTGCTTCTTTATCAACCAAAATAATGTATTTGAATTGTGGTTATGTCTCTTGAGAGGACCCATGTGATAATTATCTTTTGTTAAAGTACAATTGACTCAAATGTAGCTCCAAATGAGGAGAGATTGATTCCACCTGGGTTAAAGTGGTCCTGATTACAGAGCTCGTCTCTGATTGGCTACAAGAAGCAGGTGACACGAAGTAAAAGTTTCAGCACACAGCAGACGGGTCGGTGTGTGTTTTTCACTGCAGAAACAAATGGAGGAAGGCCAGTGTTTTGTGTACTGCAAGATGTATTTCTCTTTAACTGAATGCAGAGGGGCCTGAGTGATGAACCTGATGAAATGGTTTATTTTCTCCTTTTCTTTGGCCGTTCAAATAACTTGTGTTTGTCTGCACACTGGTCAAATCGAATCACTCTTATATCCACCTCACGACCGACCTACTACAACAGGGTTACAATTGTTTAGGAAATATATACAGTTCTACAAAGAAATGTGTGAAATCATAACATAAAACTTGAGCAACAAATTTAAATAAATTGCTTGGTGAGGGTGAAGACACTTTCCTTTGCATGTTTTCATATTAATAGATTGTGGATTTCTGGAGAATGAGGATGTGAAGGCATTTGAAATGAGTGTGAGGAAAACAAATCAGACATCAATTATAATTTAAAGCCAAGTACATTTTTATATCCTAGGATTTGTCTGGAAGTCATTTTCCATATGTAACACCCCCTGCTTCAACATGTATGGCTTCTTTATTGGAACATCAGCTGAACTGTAGTCCCTGTGTGTGTGGATCTGTGTGCATTTTCTGAATAAGTCACCCATACCTTTCTAAATCTGTTTAAGAGGCATTTCAATTTTCACCAGAAATATGCTTCTGTTCTGCTGACCATCCACTTTTTTGTGGCCACATAAAAAAAAAATGTAGGTTGTAAATGTTCTCCAGTGACAAGAATGTCTCAGTTACACGTATTGTACAAATTCCCTTAAGAAAGAAACCTTACCAGGTGATTAAATGTAAAACTGGGAAAGCAAATGAACCGCTTTCCATCAGCAATACTCACAAATATGATGCAGGTATTTGTGGGTTATTGCTATGAAGTCTGTGTAACCCTGGACTTTGAATCGTAGACAGTCTGGGGTAGGTAGATGGTCCCCTGAGGGCCCCTCACATGCCAGGTCCCAGCTCCAGGCTCAGTGATGGAGTGCCAGTCTCTGACAGCTGAGTACCAGTTTCACAACTAACATCACCTTCACCAAGATGATCTGAGTAATGCCTCACAGAGCCGAGCCCCGTGTCTGGACGTCCAGTCAGGAGTTTGCACCTCTGCTTTGGTTATGTGGTTTTGCTGCCCGCTCTTCTCTTTCTTTGGGACACTGAAAAGTTCAACGGTCCCGTGGTTTGGTGTAGCAGCGCTGAAAAGAAAGGAGAAAAAAAGAAGCAAGAAGACATCAGCACTATTTGGAAATGAAAAGCAAATGTTCTGGGGTTTTTGGAGGAGAAGTAACTGGTACGTCGTCTCCCGTGTGCTTGGCTTTGAGGAGGTAAAATGAAGACAGCCCTGAGGCGGCTGCATGCTGGGCGCAGATTAAAATAACTGTCAGGAGACAGGAGCAGCTATTGAGGGAGACAGGCTGACACACAGAGTGATGGGGCTCAGCCTCTCACACACAGTGACACAGTATTTCACTAAAGCTGGTTCAGCTTTACAGCCCGTGACCGGTGTGTGTGTGTGTGTCGGTGTGTGTGTTCGTTTTGCTTTATCTTGACCAAGCAAGTCTTGTGTGTGTGTGTGTCTGTACAGTCACATTGTGGGGATTTTCCCTTTCTTTAGGGGGCACAATTGAAGTCCCGACAATGATTGTAAATTAATGAAGTATCCTAAAGTAAGTGTGTGTGTGTGTGTGTGTGTGTGTGTGTGTGTGTGTGTGTGTGTGTGTGTGTGTGTGTGTGTGTGTGCAATATCCTCTAAAGTAAGTGTACGTGTGTTTTTGGGGACTCCCCTTTTTTAAGAGGACACAATTGAAGTCCCCATAATGTATGAAAGTTAAGGTAATATCCTCTAAACTGATGGAAATGTTTGTGTGTGTGACAAAGTGATTTACATTTTATTATAAGCATTAATACACAAATCAAATGAAACTATAATAAAAAGCGGGTCATGTGTGAGTCTGTACAGCCACGTTGTGGGGACCGCCTACCTTCAGGGGTCTTACATAACATAAATCATTACATTTGAGCGTGAAGATTTGGTTAAAGTTTATCATAAGTTAGTCTCTAGGAATTCACTGTAAATCAATGTTATGTCTTCTGAAGTAGAGGAAAAATGACAAAGTCAGAGAGAGGTTTACCTTCGGCACAGGTGGGGCCCAGCCAGGTGAGCGGGCACAGGCACCGCCCGCTGAGCCCCTCACAGCGGGCCCTGTGGGAGCACTGACACGGCAGAGAGCAGTCTGGGCCGAAACGCTCTCCACCACAATCTGAGACAGAAAAGGGAGGGAGAGTTTTTTTTAAAAATGTGTTAAGGACAAAAAAACATGGATATATGGGACATTTGGAGCTGATTAAATGTTAATGAAACAAGAGGATTTACCTTTTTCACATCTCTGTCCTGTCCTTCCTGGGGGACAGAGGCACCGCCCGGTGGATGGGTCACATGGGGCCTCACCAGCACAGTCACATGACTCTCCACAGCTCAATCCAAACCTGCCAGACTCACACCCTGAAAACAGATGTATGCTTATATTACTGTAGTTATGAGAACGTCCATGCATTTATAAATTTCATAACCATCTTCCCAACATACAGCAAGACGATTGACTATTGGTGAACTTTTTTTTGTTATGAAAAGGTATGCCTTGCACTAAAATCTAGTTTTTGTTTTAAAAGTGAATCCTAATTCCTGTGCTAGCCATAGAGTATAAGGGATAAGTTAATGTACTGCACAATTAAGAAATATACAGACCTTTAAAATGTGATCATAGTCCTACTTTTTTATCCGTATTAAGTCTGCTACATGTTTAAATGCAAGACCATATGAATGACACTGTGCAGAATCACATAAATATACACAAGCACAAACAGACACACGAGTGCAAGTGCGTGTACCAAAAAACACACCATGTATCTCACACACACAGAGATAAGAGCCGCTCTGTCTCTGGAGTTGTTGCTGCCTTACTGCTCTGCGACGCTCAGTCATATCTCCTGCTGGGACTGAAGTGGCCATTTAGGCGCTCACACTGCGGCTGAGAGCCCGGCAGCAGGCAGGAGGGCCCAGGATGTAACAGGAACGCATTAAGCAGTGGGGAAACACCTGTCTCTCATCAAATAACCAGGAGGCATGCCCGCCCACCTACCTGCTCGCCTGTCTGTCTGCCTGCCAGAACACACTCACACTGCCTTGGTTTGTTGAACTCTTATTCACGAATGCTCATATCTGCCCATGTCTTATTGCAGCTGGGCACCCAGATGGCTTTTTAATCATTTCCACAAACGTGTTAATATTCTGTCTTCTGTCTGCCGAACATTAGATGTCTTATTTGTAACTTAACATCAGTTTCGTTATTAATTGAATTGAAATGTAATGATTTTGGACACATACAGTACTGTACTGCTTTTCATGTAGTTTCTTTTTTTTGTGGATACTCACTTCTTTCACATTGTGGGCCATGGTAGCCTGGTGGACACACACATTTGCCTGTCACATGATCACATGTCCGCCCTGCTTTACAGTCACATGTACGGGCACATTTCATGCCAAAGAATCCAGATGGACAACCTAAGAGAAAGACATTGAATTTACTTTAAGGATACTTTCAGCATATGGTTAAAAACGGGTCATGTTGTATTCTTTCATGTCACAGACACATATTTTACTAGTTGCACTTTTACAGAAGTGTCAGTGAGGCCACTGGTAACCCTATCACCAAGTTTCTTTTTGTATTATGAGTGAGTGTGTGCTTACTGTGTTGACAGGAGTGGCCGTAGTATCCAGCAGAACAGCCGCAGGTGCCGGTGAAACGGTTGCAGGTCCCGTTGTTGAGGCATGGACAGTCTTGTGCACAATCAAACCCATATTTTCCCTGTGAACAGGCTGCACACACAGAGACACACACAAAAACATGATATAAATGAACATTTATGAAGAAACTGTGAGTATATGGAACATGATCCAGAAGAAATCTTTCCATGAGATTATATTGCAAATATGGTCCATATTGATCAAGCTCAAATACACAAACTCAAAATGAATGGTCAGTCACATTGCCTGATTGCCTTTAGACTTGTCCAGGAATTTTTGCACTTCAGATTCCCTCTCGTTTTTTTGAAAGAATTGTTGATTTGTTTCCTAAAATAAGGACTGATGTTAACACAAGCTTAAAGGAGAGGTGTCATGGCCATTTCCACTGATCATAATTCCATTGTTGAGGTATACTAAAATAGATTTATATTGTGCAATTTTCCAAACTCACATTGGTTTCTCATACAGCATCTCTGTAAACTACGTGTATTCACTGAATTTCACTCTCTGCCTTTAACGGCTCGTTGTAGCTCCAATAGCTCCAGCCCCCACCCTCCCTGTGAGCACAGTGTGCTCTGATTGGTCGGGACGTTGTGAATCGCGCTGAGCTCCGTGGAGGTGTTGTTTCCTTGTTTAGCATACATAGCGAAACACAGCCAAACTCATCCTGAGCACACACAAAGTCACAGTCGAAGTAAAAACAATAAGTGTGGCTTGATATTGAGTAAGAAAAAGGTTGATAAACGCTGTGAGAATGGGTCTGCAGAGAGAATTTCGCCGCGATCCCAACTGTCTGTTATCAGCCTGCAGCCAGGGAGGAGAAATCAGCTGAGCTGCCTGCTCCCTGCACACAGATGTGTGTGTGAGGAAGTCCGTGGATTGGTCAATTTGGACCAATCAGCGGGGGCTTAACGTAACGGCTCCGCGGACGTAACGTAACGGCTCCACGGATTGGTCCATTTCGTTCCGGGTACGGCATGACATCATGCCGTACCCGGAAGAATCAAATGGACAATGACGTATCTCCAACGAGGCGTTTTGGGGAGGTATTTTCTGTGTTAGAGTTTTACTCGCTACAGGGTGTACTTTGAGGGTTTTGAAACCTTCATAACACACAAGGGGACGGGTAATAACCGGAAAAGCATGACACCTCTCCTTTAAGATATGTTAATGTTCTTAACGCTTGCCACAGAGTGAGGAAAGGAAAAGGGGGGGGATATAAGTGAGTTCAAAATCATCCGATAGTAGGAGGTAAACTCTAATGTTTAGAAAAGTTTTCTCTGCCAGTTTTGTTGTTTGTCTTGTTATAACATTTCTGATGTCTGATGAACAGTTCTGATTGTTCTCTGTTGTGTGTGAAGTTGTCACAGCGCGCTCTGGTCCAGCCCAGTCCACCTCTGCAAGACCCATCGATGGGATCACACAGACCCCCATTCTGCATTTACACTTCAAAGTCATTCAAGTTGTGCTCATTTGCTAAGATTATCTTGCTGAGCATAAATTGCAGGTATATTAACTTTTTGTCTGCCACAGAGGGTCCCTTAAGCACTCTATCATTTATAAAAGGGGGGATATAAGTGAGTAAAAGATCATCTGATAGTAAGAGGTAAAGGTTTACAAGAGTTTTCTCTGCCAGTTTTGTTGTTCGTTCTAGTTTTTAAGTTTCTGATTTCCCATGTACAGATTACAGTTCAGTTCGGTTCTGGTTGTTCAGTGTGTGTGAAGTTGTACCCGAGTCACAGCGCGCTCCGGTCCAGCCCAGTCCACATCTGCAAGACCCGTGGATGGGATCACACAGACCCCCGTTCTGACAGCTGCACGTGTTTCTGCACTGCAGGCCATAGCGCCCCCTAGGACATGCTGGAGAAACGTCCAGAACACATCAGGAAAAGACCAGAACCACAGGCCTACTTACACACTCACACACACACACATATATATACAAGATTGCACTAACCACAGTCATGTTTATTTAAGCAACAGTTCATTAAAGAGATGGCAAAGTGGTCTAATTTGGCACTGATATAAAAGAATAATCATGTTTCTCTGGGTAATTTCGATTGGGAAAACAATAAGTAAGCCGTCTTTGATTTTCCTGTTTATTTATTTGCTTCCTTGCCAGATCCAGCGATACGGAACACAGAGAACGAGCTACTTATAGGTTTCTGTAAACATTCAACAAGAGGAACATAAGACGAGGTATGTCCAAGTACATGCAGGACGCTGAAGAAGAGAACATTTAGGAAAGGCAGTGATGGAAATCCCCGCTTGCAATCCAGCTGAATGGCTGATAGAGGGAGAGATTAAGAAACTCCGAGTCTGTTTCCCGGGAAAGCAGCCCTGTTATCATCCTTGGCCTCACAGGAAGTGGAGCATTTGTTACTTAAATATACACTGTAAAATGTTTAAAAATGCTCCCTTGTTTTAGCGGTTGTTTCTCACTTTCTAGTTAGGGCCTACTATTTCTGAAGAGCTCATTAGGGCCAGCCGATCCCACTGATGCATGGCAGGCTCTCTGAGGAGAAGGGCAAACGATAAAAGACCAAAGTTTGATATTTTTTACAAGTTTTACTCAAAGTTTTACAATGGATTCTCTTATAATTTGCTGACTAGTGATGTATTCTTGCCTCAAAACTATTTCAGTATCAAACTCCATAATAGAAAGGTTTCAACCAGCTGCATTTACTGTTGATAAGATATTCGTTTGCATGGCCTCATAAACAACTACTGTAGGATTGGGTTGTCATGACGTTACCTTGCTGGCAGGACTGTCCCATCCTACCAGGGGCACAGATACACTTTCCAGTAGCTGGGTGGCACTGCCCTCCTTCCCCACAGGAGCACATCTTAGCACAGTCCTTCCCATAATACCCGCTTGGACAGCCTGTGGAAATAAAAAAGTATTCATTCACACAACATTTTTAAGCTACATTTCATTGGGATTCGTTGGTTTCCTCTGTCTTTGCTGTCCCTTGTTTGACCAGAGTGGTTAAATACAACAAGAAGGCTGAGATGACTAACACTCATTAAGCATTAACTCCACATCCAACTATAAAGACAGTGATGGGAAGGAGAAATTATCATTCATTTAGCTCCTGATTGATGGATACAATATAATAACGTTACATGTATCCTGGATCACTTAAGTCATATACATTGCTTGATAACTATTGCTATAATCAGGGGCGCACATAACTTTTTGAGTGAGTTACTCAGATGAGTACCAGGAGACAGCGTTTGGTACTCACTCCACACGAAGCGTGGTCCTCCTCAGTGTCTCCTTCACTGTCCTCTATTTACACTTCTTGCATGATAGATGATGAAGATGATGAAGATGCACCTCCCTGTCTCTTTTTAAGCCTCCGATTTGCTTTCTCCAAAACTTGTTGCCAAAACTGTGAAGTCCTTGCATTTCCTGAGGCCAAGTTGAAGGATCACATACTAAGAAATTATCACATGACTTGAAGTCATATCTGATTTCAGATGTGGGAAGTTACGAAGTACACTTATTCAAGTACTGTACTTAAGTACAATCTTGAGATATTTGTACTTTACTTGACTTTGATCTAATTTGTAAACACTTTGAGAACACTTTAATGATCAATCATTACGAAACATATCATATATATTATTCTGAAATGGACCAATCTGCACAATGACTACTTTTACTTTTGGTACTTTAACTATATTTTGATGATAATACTTTTCAAATTTTACTTGAGTAACATTTTGAATGCAGGACTTTTATTGTAACAGAGTAACACTCTGGTACTTCTACTTTTACTCAAGTACAATATCTGACCACTTCTTCCACCTCTGTCTGTTTCAAACTCTTCCATAACACCCTGAGTAAGTTTGCAGCTGTGTGTTTCACTCCACTTTGTTTTAAATAAAACTGCAGCAGCTTGACCACAGAGCGTGAACGTTGTGATCAGCTGATTTTGCGCAGTTCTCCAGTGTGTGTGCGGGGCACAGAATGTGCACAGGGGAGTCTCCCACTGCAGCGAGTTGGCAGAGTTTTGGCACAATTCTGTTGTTCATACCGACGTTAACCCTGTCTGTGCACACGGCGACCAACTCTGTTGTCCGGTGATCTAAGCCTCTGCCTCCTGGAAAGCTTCACAGGTCCGTCGGTTATGTCCTGCGCGGCTCGGCCAGCACCCAGTTCAGTCAATCACAGAAAGTCAGAAGATTTTTTGCAGGGAGCGAAACGGCAACGTAGCTGCTTAATGTCTTTGGGTTTTTTGACATGTCTCGTAGTTTACTCCATTGAGTGTTGACAAGAAACACGTGTAGACGAAATATGTGTTTTGTTTTGATGTTTTGAGGTACGCAAAGGCGCGTAGTGACACAAGTGACGTTACGCAACTCAGATTTTTGCCGCGCATGCGTACCGGCGTACCAGTTATGTGCACCCCTGGCTATAATGGTAATGCTAACCCCTAACCCTAAACATGAACCCTAACCCTAACCCTGGCGTTAATGAGCTTGACTGAATATCCTACAGGAATAGTGCCATGCTGCAATTGCAACTTAAATTGTTAGCCATTCTGTAACTTATAATGTCCCCCCAAAATACCTCCACTCAATAAATCCATGCTCTACTTCATAACTGTAGTGTTGGTGGCAAAGCAAGTAAAATATATGCCTACAGTATGCAAGTTTTAACCATAGACTGTAGGTTTTAACACATCAGCTTAGTGTTTTTCACAATTCTTTGATACAACAAATAGCTGGATTTGTGTGTTTTCTTCCCCCGTGAACCAGAGTCTACTACACTGGTGTTTATGAGTCTGCGATATGTGCCTTAGACACGACTATATCAGGGCGGGGGTGTTGCTTATGACCGAAGGAAGCTCAGTGTTGTATTTGAAGTTGTTTGCATGAGCTAGTTCTCAAGAAAGCTGCAACACCACAGGCCAAGCATCCAACCCGTCACAAACAGGCATGTTGTTTAAAACGAGCGTTCCAATGATAATAAAGGGGTGCCGAAAGACTGTGGTTTCTTTCTGGAGTAAAAACAGGTGCAAGATGTCTTCACTCACGTAAGCTGCAGTCAGCTCCAATGAAGCCAGCCGGGCAGTAGCAGGTCCCAGTCCTGAAGTCACAGCGACCGCCACTGGTGCAGCTGCATCTGGACTTGCAGTTAGGCCCAAAAGTACCTGCTCGACATCCTGGAGACAAAACAGGGAGGACATTTTAATTAGATGTTGTATCAGAATCAGCCAATCAAATGTAGGTTTAATAATAATACATGGCATGTTTAATAGCGCTTTCCCAGGTGCTCAAAGACGCTTTACATTACATGTTACTAAATACTTTTATCCAAAGTGACTTGAGGTTTGCTTTGGGGTATATTGGTTTATATTAAAAAAAAAGTTTACAAGAAATACAAACAAGAAAGTAAGTATAATAAGGACAATAATGACAACATATTCTTATAAACATGTGCAGTATATCAGTAAATCAGAATTTGAAGTGGAAGTTATGTTATTTCTGTGCAAAATATAGCATGATCATGTATTTTCAATCTTTGACTTCAATGGAAATCTACAAATTGGGCCAAATATTTACCCTTCTCCCACATTTCTCCCACCAAATTCTCGATTTAACTAAAGGAATATTAGCGCATGCCTCGTACTAGTCCACTCTGACAGCAGGAAACCATCAGTGTTCTTACGTAGCTCGCAGCGGGCCCCGTAGTATCCGGGTAAGCAGCTGCATTTCCCCGTCACAGGATGGCACTGCTCCTGGTCTCCTGAACACCGGCACAGCTTGCTGCAGTTCATCCCGAACACGCCAGCAGGACAGGCTGAGAGCACACGTGCAGAAATATGTTATACACTATATATACAACAGTTGGAGTTTTTTTTCAAATTCATTTAGACAGTAGTGGGCAAATAAAACTGTGATCAAAGTGTAAATGGTAGGTCTTTGAATTGTTCTGGGACAAAGATGCAAGATATCAGTTCCAATAGTTTGTGGGAACAAAAACACCATATGATCAATACAATGTGACGATACGATAAGAAATGTTAGGATATGGCAAGGAACGATATGATACGTACGATACAAAACGATAAGATATATATGATATGGTACAGTATGGTACAATGCAATACCATAGGATAGCATACAATACCATACCATGTGATATATGTTAAGAAAAAAGTACACATATACATTACATTGCATTACTCCTTGTTTTGCACTTCTGGTTGGAAGTACTTTGTGCAATGACAATGAAGTTGAATATATTCTTATCTCATCGATTTAGGATTAAACTCCTTGACTCATTGACTGGAGTGCTTCAGTCTTAACTTATATAATCATCGGACTCTGTATCTCCAATGTAATGGTAACAATTAATATTCCCTGTTCAGGACCTAAATAAAGACACAAACAAATTGTCTCTAGATAACTCGGTGAAGTAGTGTCTGGTAACTAAACCCAAAAACTTTCCCCAGTGTCCGAACCCCGCCGGACGCAGAGGGACATTCTTTCACACACACCCTTTCTGCATACATACGTAACCGCTTATAACGAATGGAGTCCGCGGACAATCAGTCATAGCCAACAAGATGAATCTGTGAACCGAGCATGTTTTGGGGTGAGACCGCAGCACTCAGTCAGGCAGCAGCAGCAGGCAGCGCGGGGGACAGATAAGAAAGGACTCGAGACTAAAGAGGCAATTACGGGGCTGTCATTATGCATGTCTGCCTTCCAAAGGCCCTTATCCGCCGCCGAGGAGACAAAAACAATGCCTTCTGTTTTACTTGGCAACTGGTGCGTAACATTTATCAGATGTCTGGGGAGTGTGTGAGGAGAGGAAAGGAGCTGAGGTGGTGAGGGAGGGGCGGTAGAAGGAGTGTTGAGAAGTGAAGCTGCTTGTATATACGGTCTAAATAATGAACATTAGCATAAAGCCCTGTGACAGTGAGGGTTTAGTGCCGGTGTAGAGTGCATTTCCTGGAATGGAATAAATGGTAATCTTTCCCAGGAGGACCAGGGGAGTAAAAAAAAAAAAAAAGAATTTTAATCAGTATTAACAGAATGATTCTTGTTGATCACTTCAGTCCCATGATGCCTTTCCTCCTGATGGGAGTGGTGTGTTGCAGTGACAGTGTTTCTATCAACAAGGCACATATGTCAGCTTTTAAATGCATGACAGTGATATTAGCCATGTGCCAAGGCTTTCTCAATAACCAGATATACACGAGGGACATCAGTGAGATACCACATGCAGGAGCCAGAACACTCTGTTTTTTATATCTGTTATTATCTTTATTTGTTTAGATTGCACACGTTTGTATTTGGTTATCACATCCAGCAACTGTCACCTGCATGTGGTTTAAATTATACAGAGTTTTTTCTGTTGACTGTATATTCATGCTTTTGTAATAGTTTGTTTAATTTTCTTTTATAAATAACGAAACATCAATTTCAGCATGAAGTCTTTCTTAGAACGTCTCAAAATGAAGCGCCAAACTAAGCCTCTTAGCGACTATTATAACACGGCTGAGTTGAATACTCGATTCTGATTTGTCAATGTGGACCTTCCAGATGTTGCGTACAATATGCAGTCATACTGTATCACTCCGCAGAAAGAAGTCCGGTCAATTTAACATCAGCTGTGGCCAAGAGATATTAGTTTTCTCCATCAAAAAACACATTGGAATACTTATATACTATACTATATTATTTGTTATATTTGTGGAGAGCATTGGATTCATGACGGCTAAACTGTCCCAAGTAAAGAAAAGAAAAAGAGAACAAGAGAAGGAAAGAGGATAAAAGACAGAGCGCTGGACGACAGAGAATCAACAGAAGACAAACAGGAAGTAAACACTAACAGGAAAAGCAGAAGAAGACAGACAGGAAGAAAGACAGATACAGAAAACCTTGCCCTCATTTTAAGTTACGCTGTTGGTTCGCAGTGGAACTTGAAGGGGACCTATCATGCAAAATGCACTTTGGTACGTCTTTTATACATGAATATGTGTCCCCGGTGTTCCAGGGAACTCACCAAGTGTCAGAAAACACAACCCTCTCTATTTTCCTCCATACCCAAATCTCTAAAAAAGGGGCTGCAACGGATCTGATAAAAACTGATCCAGATTTGAACACTGTCCTGACGTCAGGACAGTGGCGCTACGGCTATTGGGCCAACTCCACCAATCAGGAGGAGACAGCCACGGCCATTGCCGTTCGAAAGCGCTGGAGACGCTGTAGTACATATGCCAGGCCTGTAGGTGGTGCTGTTCTCACATAATCTGCCCTTGCAAAAACAGAGCTAAAAAATGTCAAATTGAGCGAAATGAGGCATGGCTAAAATGCATGATCTGTTTGGTATTTAAAAAAAAAAAAAGTATAAATATGCCTTATATAGGTATGGTCCTACACTATATTATTCAAATATAGCATGATAGGTCCACTTTAAAGGAAGCAAAACCGTTTTTTCTTAAAGCAATAAAATAATTTCTGTATCCATATTGTGAGTCAAGTCGTTGGTTTATTTAGTGTGTAACCATGTAAATATCGGGATGAAAGTTGCAGCTAGGCGGTCATTAATTGAAAAAAGAACACCGACAGGTTGAGCAGGATCTGGACACTAAGCAGACTTTGTTCTTTTTTCATTAATGACCGCCTAGCTGCACATTATCCCTCTACTTATCGGAAGTGTAGTTGCTACACCACATTTCCAAAGATGTAAACAATAACCCTAACCCCTTTTACAATTCCCCCCCCCCCCTTTCCATTCTTACGTGTCTCGCAGCCGGGCCCCATGAGTCCGGCGGGACACCCACAGCTCCCCGTCTCATGGTGGCAGGACGCCCCGGCCTGGCAGTCACACGGCTGGGCACAGGAAGCACCGTGGGACCCCGGGAGGCAGTCTGAGAGCGGACAAACATCACTCAGTTTACTCTCATGATCAAAGCAGGCCACTTTAATATCCGTTGCCACTTCCTCAGTGCTTTACACACTCACGTTTGTCACACCTGGCCCCCCTCCAGCCTGGCTCACACTCACAGAGGCCCGTCATATGGTGGCAACTCGGACTATGGACGCAGTCACACCTCTGCTCACAGCGCTCTCCAAAGAATCCCTCAGAACAGGCTTCAGACAGAACACACACAATCAGAAACAACATCAGAGTCTGAGAGCTACACTTAGCTACAAATAGTTTACTCAGTTATGCTCTTTTACCCAATGCTGCTGCTCCTCAGAAATGTCTAGCAAAGACGGAAATCGCTGGGTCGCAGGTTGACTGTATAACAGATTATATCTAATACTGTGTGTTTAAAAAATGCTTCATAAAGACTGACATGCTGTAATCAGGCTTGGGGAACAACAGATTACATGTAACGGGATAACGTGATCAGGACACAAAATAAAGAGGAATGTATTCCCCTAAAGTTACATAAAAAAATACCTAATCTGATCACACAAATATATTAAAGTAAGACGTTATTTAGGCTACTTTCATTGTTCTTAAATTTTACTTAACTGCTTTTTTTAAACAAAAATACTTTTAATTCAAGTTTTAAACTGAAAATAATTTGTAGGTCCAGCCTATAATTTAATAGGACATATATTTGATACTTAATATATTAGTTTCTTCTTTTCTATGGTCACATTGTTCTGTTGTCTTACATAATACACTTAAAGGTGGGGTAGGTAAGTTTGAGAAACCGGCTCGAGATACACTTTTTGTTACAGTATATTCCATGGAATGCTCTTAACATCCCGATAGCAATGAATATCTTAAGTGCTTTGACAAAAAATCCATAAAAAGATGTCATCTGTGGAAGCCGTAGTACTGTAAAAAGCACGACCAATCATCTGAGCCGGCCCGGCTAAAATAACTGGATGGCCTACCTGCCTGTCAGCCTTCCATCTGTGCACAAACTTATCTCGTGCCCTCATTGGTCATGTGAGCGTTCGTGTGTGTTGGAGGAGGGGCTCTGTAAGGAAGTGGCAAATTTTTTCCGGTTGTGTATTTTCAAATTCTAGCGCACTTGAGCTGGTTTCTCCAAAATTACCTACCCCACCTTTAAGTAAACACTGTTGTATTGACATGTCTTGTATTTATTTGCATTGCACTTTATATTGAGGCAATCCAAAAGTAGTGGAAAGTAATCAGGTTGCATTACTCTCAAACTCTGATTAGGTTAGATCAGGAAGTCACCTGACTGACAGAGGTCTCCCGTCCATCCAGGCAGACACACACATCTTCCTGTCTCTCTGTCACACCTCCCTCCAGTCGTACAGCTGCAGGTCTGACTGCAGTTCTCTCCAAACCGTCCTTCCTCACACTCTAGGAGAGAGGGAGAGGAAACCTCAGATGGAAGTTGCATTCAAGTATTTATTTATTTGAGTGAAAACAAGTAGTTTTTTTTACCCTTTAGTATTGTTTTCAATCATTAATATTAACAATCACAATATAACATACAATTAACAATTATAGCTATTTACACAAATACAAATAATAATGGAAATTCAGTTTGGAGCTGCATTCCTATAAGTCTGTATGTCATGACAGCTCCTTTTACTAAGTCAGTTGTAATCTGTATTCTTCGTCATGATTTGATACAAGTTACTTCCAAAATGTAATACAGTACATATAACTTATTACTGTCTTTTTTAAGTAATAAGTTACATTACAATATTACTGTCTCTGAAATGTAATGAGTTACACTACTTTTATATTACTTTTGAGTTACTTTCACCAAAACAACCGCAAAATAATGGCTAGGTATTTTAAATGCTAAAATGTAGTTTAGTGCAGCAACTGTAGGCCCTTAAGGCTACTAACAACTTGTATTGCACGGCTTAGTTAAATACTCGATTCTGAACATTTCAAAACACGTGACACGTTGTTAATCCAGTAGTAGGCTGCAGACCGCTGTCAGGGACTGTAAAGACCGTTGCTAAGGAGGATCAAGAAAGAGAAAGGAAAAGAGGTTAAAAGATGGAGCACTGGACGTCAGATAAATCATCAGAAGAAGGCAGAGAGGAAGTTAACACTAACAGGAACACGGAATGGGCTCTGTAATGTTTAAGGACTTGTTAGTGGATCAGAAACTGTGAACAGAGTTGGACAGTGCTGCCGTAAAGTTGTTGTTGTCGCAGTTCCAGCGGTTGGTGCGCCGTGGAACGGAGTTTTTTTTTTTTTACGGAAGAAATACGATCATTTTAAGTCAATAAAATAATTTCAATTAATATTGGGAGTCGATTCTGTGTTACTGAGAATTGTAACAGTATATTACCCACATTTCATTAGTAATACACCAAACACTGTTCCTGATCAATAATACTATTTTATTTCAAACTATGACAGTGTGCTATTGCTCCAGAGGGCCTGTAGGCGGTATCAAGGTCAGAATCATCAGAGCAGATGAGGATCACCTTCCTCACCTGTATTTAAGAGCTTCAGGCCATGCTCTCCCTTTCTTTGTCACCATGCCTCATGCTAGGGACAGTCCACATTGCTATCATCTGGTTTGGTTCATTTCATTAATAACTGGCAACTTGTGTGTGACCTTCCTCCTTTTGTTACATGAAGAGGCTAATTTGATCCCAAGATATGTATTTCTGTCTCTCATTTGGACACTTTTGTTCCACAGTGTGATGTAACACATGTAAGGCTTCTGTAGGACTCACCTGACTCACAGGTAGCTCCTCTCCAGCCGCGGGGGCAGGAGCACTGACCACTGACGCTATCACAGGAGCCTCCGTTTCCACACAGACACTGACCAGAGCATTGTTCACCGTAATATCCTGCAGGACAGGCTATACACACACACACACACACACACACACACACACACACACACACACACACACACACACACACACACACACACACACACACACACACACACACACACACACACACACACACACACACACACACACACACACACACACACACACACACACACACACACACACACACACACACACACACACACACACACACACACACACACACACACACACAACACTGCTGAGTGTTACCTTGTTGGCAGCCAAAACACATCCTTTCTATGACACTTCAGCGTGCTTTGTAACATGGAAAGTTATGATTTCAAGTCATTTGGGGCTAATATATTAAACCCACTGGTATTGCATTAAGAAGACAGCTGTCCATATTTCTGAGATGCTGTGTCATGCTGAGTGATACACAGCTGAGTGATACACAGCTGAGTGATACACAGCTGAGTGATACACAGCTGAGTGATACACAGCTGGGTGATGAGCAGCTGAGTGATGAGCAGCTGAGGATGAAACTCACGCAGTTGGCAGCGGACTCCGGTCAAGCCGGCCGCACAGTTGCAACCCCCGCTGATGTGGTCACACCTGGACCCCCGCTCACACTCACAGGTCTGACTGCACCGCTCCCCAAAAGTACCCTCTGGACACGCTACACACACACAGAAATACAGAGACACACACATTCATTATTAACTTTAAATGCAACGAATAAGGCAAACAGAGGAGCAGCAGTGGCATTTACTCAAGTACTGTACTTAGGTAGAAAATGAAGGTACTTGTACTCAGTATTTCCACATTATGATACTGTGTATTTTCACCCCACTATATTTGTAGACAAATAATCTACTGTTAACTCCACTACATTCATTTTACAGCCTCACTTACGACCCAGTTAGCAGATGAATATCTGAATACCACAGTCAAAAAATACTGTGTTCACATTAGGTAAAAGAACAGAAGTATTATCAGCTCAAATGTATCTAAAGAATCAAAACTAATGCAGAATATTTTCTTTAAAATGGTTGTATTATCAAGTTTTTTATCTGGAGTTAAGTTTGGATACTTTATGTACTGTAAATATAAGCAAACCATGTTATTTATGTAAAATGTAACAACTACTAAACGTATTTATTGTTTAATGTAATGGAGTAAAACGCGTAGTAGAAGTTTAAGTGGCAGAAAATGTTAATATTCAAGTAAAGTACAACTTTCTTTTAAATGATACTTTAGTACGGTACTTGCCTAAATGTGCTTAGTAACTTCTCACCACTGCACATGAGATCAGAGGGCTAAAGGACATTTTTGGGGGCTTTTTTTACACACACACTGTTAAGTTAATGATCAAAGTCCAAGATGACATTTGGAGTCTAAGAGAGGAAAAGTGCCCTAATGACAGAGATGCATCATTAAGTCATGCGAGTGGCTTTCTGCTGACTCTGGCTCTCGTAGTGAGGACCACAAATGACTGTGGCAAGAGGAAAGTCTTGCGTAAAAGTAGCGAATGACAGAGTAAGAGCTTTAGTGGGCATTTCACTGAATCCATTAAAACAACGGCATGAAACTGTAGCATGAGAACAGTGATAGGGTAGCTGCTGAAGAGCTATGCTATCCCTTTCCCTAATGTTGATCGCTGCACACAAACACGTGGGTGCATTTATCCAGAATAGACCTCAATTAAACCCTGTGAGCCTGAGGGCACTCTTACCCATCCCTAAAAAAAAAGTCATTGGCAGTGTCTCATTATAGAGATAATTGTTCACAAACACATCCTAGTTGTGTTTAAGGAGAGGATGTCGTGATGGGCTGCAGTGAGGGCCTCCCTCACACCCCGTTTTAATGATGTGGCTTCCATTACCCAGAATGCAGTGTGGTCCTGCCCAGCCGGCGGTGCACAGGCAGCCTCCTGTGATGTGGTGGCAGCGGGCACCGTTCCTGCACTCACACATCTGGCCACAGTCAAGACCGTAAAAGCCGTCCGGGCACACTGTGGGCCGAGATAAAACATCCCATGGTTAGAACTGGCAGCTGCACAGAAGAGGAGAGGAAAAGGTTCGGATGCCAACTTTCTTTATACTTTTTCTCTTTAGGTCTTTCTCTCCTCTCCTCCTTCTAGTCTCCCGCTCTGTCTTACCACCTACTGAAAATACCAATATCAAATTGCAGTACCATGCTGCGGCGGTTCATTTGCAGAGCGTCTGCGTTCGTTAAGTGAGCTCATGGCCCACATGTGCGGTGAATCTGGGCCCACATCAAAGTCCACGAAGGCGTGTAGGTTATTCCCTTTTAGGTGAAGGGGGGGGGGGGGGGGGGCACAGAGCTGGTAATTAGAGCACCTGCTGAGTCAACAGACCCCCACCAATACAAAACAAAGCCAGGTTACTGTGCCTCCGCCCTCCCCCCACACATACCTACAGTATCGCTGGAGATGCCAGTGTCTGTTTCCCATTCCCCAGCACACACAGAGAGAGTGTGTCTGTGTGTGTGTACAGTCAATTGACACTCAGGAGAGTTGAGTAAACATGGAGCCTCCCATCCTCTGCCAGAAGCAAGAGGATGAACGAGCCTTTCCACTACTGGGGTGTAAATATTGTCTGTAAGCGTGAGCAGGAAAAAATGACTGTTTATCCAAGACCTAATTTTAGATCCCACAATTTGTCACTAAAGAGATCAACTCAAGAAAAATTGTTCTTTCTGTTTTTCATTAATAGGAACGGAGGTTTGATTGACAGCCGTCGCAGACATTTCTCTCTTTTCTGTTGCAGTGATATGTGAGAAAATCGGGTGAAGGTTTGAATAGTTTCCCAATTATCTCCACGGCCAGCTGTTTTTCATTTCATTCATATACTACCTCTTCTATCTAAAAAGAAAAAGCAGTGGACCATGTTACCAAAGGAAGCCACAAATTGGCAGGCCAACACAAATGTGTAACTCAGTGGTTTTAAATGCCACCGTATTCAGGGTGTTTCCCTACAGTTAATGCATCTCCTTCTCCTGCTCCAATTGATGATGCCCTCCACTCCTCCGTTTGCTCCCTGAAGGCCTCAAATTGGGAAAAGTGTCCTTCCTGCTCAGCATTTTCTGGCATCTTCCCACGCTGACAGCATGACGTCTGCGCAGGCCTCTGTAGTGGTTAGGCTGTTATTAAAGCCAGCCCACTGAGGATGCTGTCATTTTAACCCAGCTGTCCATTAGCTCTGTGGTACCACTGTAGCAAAAACACTGGTTTATTGTCTGCTGTTGATTATTATTATGACAGCAATTGCTGACACCATGGCAACATCTTACTTGCTGCGGGAAAAGATTCAGAAATTAAATATGATTTATTCAGCGATGAGACAGGTACGGTGGCCGACAGGGGCCAACACGTGACGACACTTCCATGAGGAAACACGCTGCAGTCTTGATAACGATGCAAATATAAAAACACTGCGTGCCCAAACACATGCAAAGGAAGAGTGTTCTTCACCATCTTGACAAAATATGCGGACACGGGGACACTAAAAAGTGATGCACACAGCTGGGAGCGCTTGTTGATGTTTATTGGCTTATTTTATCAGTGTTATTGCATGATTATTTCTGATATTATTGCAGATCTGCTGTAAGCTAGCTAGCTAACTTAGCTAACAGACTAACAGTGCCAACAATCTCCGAACGCCAACAAGCGCTCCGGTCCCAGCTGTGTGCATCACTTTTCAGTGTCCCCATTTCCGTTTTGTTTTGAGCTTCTTGCGTTTTTTTATTTCCAACGTTTTGTATTTGCAGCGTTTCATTTATGCAGCGCTTCGTAAATGCTGCAAATGTGTTGTTAAGTTGGTCAAGTTAAATGCAGCATGATTCTCCTAATAGAAGTGTTTTGGGACGTTATAGCGTGTTTGCACGGGTCGGCCACCGTACGCCGAGGAATCTATGATGTTAAAAAAGAATCTTCTCCAATGACTGATGTTCCCCTTTAATAAGGTCTTTGTCCCGGGAACAGCAATCACCTCAACATGTTCAAACACTTTCATAGTTTACTACAGCCCATACACACTCTGCAGTAACTCTTCAGGGGAGATTCTGACACCTCTGAATTGCAACGTTTATTATTTGTTTATGCCAGCAGGGGGCGACTGGTTTCCATATTAACCACAGAGCAGCAATCTGTCATCAGATATTAGGACAGTGTCTGCAAGTGTTTGTAAGTGAAGACTCTTCCCTGAGTCTTTGTTTATGGGTAAGGCACGGAGGATTCAGTCCGCCACACACACAGACACACACACTGTGCCATCGCTGAAAGACTCCATCTCCAGACTAAATGAGCTCTTTAAGACAGGAGGATTATTTCCAGATCCCTGGTTGTGTAAGAGCCACTGCTGTCAGCCCGTAAAGCAGGTCCAGGGACCACACAGCCAGGAGAGCAGGCCATAGAAATAGAGCGGATAGAGAGGACAGAGAACAGAAACTTCCTGGTGCCATTCACTGAAAGAGTGACAAAACAAAACAACTGCTGTTTCTCCGACAATACCGCGGATGTTAAAAGCCAGACTTCTTTTTACTGCAACAGTTTTGATGCAGAGATCAAAGCTGCGGACCAGAAAACGAAGCACGATACGCGTTAATGGAAGAAGTGGTCTTGTGTGAAGGACCCATGTCAGCACAATAGCTCGTTTCCTCTGACAAAACTCGATTCTGACGGTTAGCATTAACCACAATAAAGCTTTATAAATAAAACTGCATTTGCTCTAGTTTTGCCGTTATTCCCAAGAATAACATTATAAAAACCAGCCCACCTAGAATCAAACGCTAAAAGGGAAAGTCATGTATTTCTTTTTAGATCCTGTGAAACAGATGAGATCTGGTCCTTCTCACAGCACAGGCGTCTTCCTGACTTTCTCCTGAAGGAAGAGGCCCAGCAGAAGACTGAGAAACAGGACACCTCTGTTTGAGGAGAGAAGGCCTTCAGAAAAACAGAATCTGGTCAGAACGATAGCCTTATTTCCACAGCGACGTCCAATCAGAGTGACGTCTGCGTCTGAAGCCATTAGACTGTTATGACTAGCGATGAGAAGCTCTGGTCTAGTGTGACACGGTCATGATTTACGATGCTAGGAGCTGGTATGGGTTTCTGGGCCTTACAGTAAATCTTACACATACTTATAACATGTGGCCACTTCAAGTCAAAGGACTATAATCAAGAACAAATCTATTGCCTTCTTAAGACTCTTGGACTGTTTGAGTGTCTTTCCGTTCAATAAATATATCACAATGATGAGAGGAATATTAGCTGAATGAAGGGTTTGCGATGGCAGGATGCTTGGAAGAGACTACGCCTGTGAAATACGCGCCATCGAACCCAGAATGACGAATGCTAATTATATCTTGGGATCCGTGTGGTTTTAAAATGGTTTTGCACATGACATTACTTGGAGAATCTGATGATTCATAACCTCAGTGTGATGATTCACTCAAGCCTTGGAAGAAATACAAAAAAATCTGAAGACTGTCCTGCAGCGCCCTCTTGTGTGTAAAGAGGAGAATGTCACATGTCAAGGAGAGGAGGGTCCTTAGTAAATATAACAACACAATACTATCTATTCATAAGGTTTTATACTTAAGGGAAGGGCACAACTTACACATTTAAGTCAATGGAGACAGGAGTGTCATAACCTGTTGTCATGCTCTGGTCAAATTTCAACAAAATTAAACAATCATTTTGAAATGTTTTTCATGTTTGTTTATATGCAAATGAGCACACATTTACGTCTCATTTTCACAACATGTAATAAAGAAATGGCTTTATGTCAGTGATGTATACTGTGGAATATTCATATGATAAGTTTCAAAATGTTAGAGAACATACACATTGGTACAATCAGGCATGATAAAGTTACTTATCAGAAACAAAAAGAACACCTTACTTTTCTCACAGTAGGTGCCGGCGTACCCAGGTGAGCAGGTGCAGGCTCCGCTCACGTGGTCGCAGAGCGCTCCACTCTCACAGCGGCACGGCAGCACACACCCCCGCCCAAAACTGCCATTCACACAGTCTGACAGGAGAACATCAGGGAAAACATCAGATAAGGAGAGGTTTAGCAAAATCCTAAACTTTAACCCAAAGGTAGCCAGCGTCATATTCAGTCTTTGTCTCAGCAACAACAATGGTATTTGTAGTTCCTTTTAGATAACCCTGAACAATTTTCACATATTGGACTCACATTACTTCACTGCATTGTTTATGGTATATACTACATAATGTTTATAGTTTCCTATGTATATATTTGGTTTCATTAGAAAATTGGTATATTTAAATACATTCTAAACAACTAATTTTGGATATTTTATTCTGTGTATTCTATACATGTATGTACTCTATTGATTAGGGCTGTGCGATTATGGCAAAAATCATAATCACGATTATTTGGGTCAATAATTGAATTATTAAATACGATTATTCATTGACTTTGAAAAAATCTATTTATTGAACTTTAAAACAAATACAAATAATAATTTGAACAGTATCTTTTTAACTGTTGATTACCCTGAATGTATAATTCAACTGAAAAACCAATACAAAAATAAATGATACATTTAAATAAATAATATCAAAATAATAAATACCAATAAACAAGATCAACAAATATTTTGGAGCGCACTTCCACAAGCTACTAAACATATATAAATATGATAAATACAAATAAATGAGACCAAAATTAATTAGATCAAATATGTTGCAGTGCACTGTCACAACCAAGCAAAACAAAATAATTGTTTTTTTCGATTATGTTGTTTTCGTAATTGTGGCAGGCCAAAATCGTAATTGTGATTAAAATACGATTAATTGCACAGACCTACTATTGATACATATCTCTTCTACTGTTGCCATGTGTAAATGTTCTGCTTGTTTCTTTTATTTATTTATTTATTTGTTACCCATGTTTAATGCCAGCTAATATGGTGTTATAAGAATATCTAATCTAATCTAGTTAGAAACGAATACATACATGAATACATGCTATAACTGAATGTCCTGTGTTGTAATTTGATGCTTAATATAGTTCCTAAAGTTACATGCAGAAGGTTTTTCTAAACTATTTCAATCTCTTTGTATTCAGTACATTCCAAGTCTTAGAAAAAGTGCAAAAATGACTGAAATAAACTACATACCTACTCAAATATTGTCAGGATTGTATATAAATTTAAAATAAGTTATAAGCAGCAGTCAGTCACCCAATGGTGGCAGTGTTTACTAAAAGGTGAAACTGAGGTATTTAAGAGGTCCACTCACTCTTCTCACAGTGGTCTCCGGTGAAGCCCGCCTCACACACACACTGCCCGCTGACCGGGTCGCAGCTCTCAGAGATCTCTCTGCACTCGCATGTGTTCACGCACCCTGGGCCCCAGTAACCAGATTCACACGCTGAGAAGATCAGCACATCATGCACTCAGAGATATATTCGTTATTTATTTTTCAACTTTATTTTCCTTTTTCTTAAACAACACATACAGTTTCAATGACAAATATCCATATTTTCTTTCTCCATGTGTAGAAACTTCATCAATTCTGTCACCCACTGGACATGAGTGGGAGACGCCTCCTGCTATATTCGTTATTTTTACAATGATAAATAGTGACTGTTCTTACCTGTTGCACAGTCAGGGCCTCTTTTGCCAGCAGGGCAGAGGCAGTGTCCCGTCCGGGGGTCACAGTCAGAGTCGGGGGGGCAGGAGCAGAGACCCTCACAGCCTGGACCATGGAGACCTGGGGGACACTCTGTGAACAACAGGGAAATCATAATGGTAAACTACATGACAAACTCAAACTACATAATACAAGTCAGCATTCACCCATTCACACACATTCATACAGAGGCAGGGGCTGCCATACAAGGTGGTCAAGTCACACACTTTCACACATGGGCCAAGCAATTTGGGGTTAAGTTTAGTAATTGCAGTGGCTTGGGATCCAACCACCAACCTTCAGATTGGAGGACAACCACATATCATCTGCTTCTAACTCTTAAATAATCTAATTATATTAAAAGCAAATAAGTGAAATGCAAAACCGTTCAATTAACTATTACATTTTTTTGGGGAAATACATAAAAAAATACGTATTTTTCTTTAATATTACTTTATAAATACTACTTTTTAAAACTTGGAATAATTATTTTTATTTCAAATGTGTATTGCCATTTGTATTATTTTTCTTTGATATTGGCTTTGTAGATACAGCTGAATGAAAAAGAAAAAAAAACAGTGGACAAAAGTGTGAATATGTTTGTATCATGAAACTGAAAATATGTAAGAAAATAAAATTGTCTGGAATATAAAACATAAATATCTCATATAAAATGTTTTTCTTTCTTGGACCTCATTGGATAACAACTCACCATTCTGGCAGAGGTTCCCCATGAAGCCTGGTCTGCACTCACACACTCCGCTCTCCTTATTGCAGGAGGCTCCATTCTCACAGTCAGGACACGCTGACTGGCACTTCATCCCCCAGAATGCATCAGGGCAGTCTGCGGAGCACCCAGTATCTTTCAGATTAACTGAGCAGTAAGCCACTTATGTTAGCTATCCCTCTGTAAAGTCCGAAAGCCACTTATGTTAGCTATCCCTCTGTAAAGTCCTAAAGCCACTTATGTTAGCTATCCCTCTGTAAAGTCCGAAAGCCACTTATGTTAGCTATCCCTCTGTAAAGTCCGAAAGCCACTTATGTTAGCTATCCCTCTGTAAAGTCCTAAAGCCACTTATGTTAGCTATCCCTCTGTAAAGTCCGAAAGCCACTTATGTTAGCTATCCCTCTGTAAAGTCCGAAAGCCACTTATGTTAGCTATCCCTCTGTAAAGTCCTAAAGCCACTTATGACTGGATGTTTCAGTGGAATGTATTTAATGGGGAGTAAGCTACAAGGAAACAGATTACTCACACACCCTGGTGGTTGTGTTGGATACTACAACTACTGAGGTCAGTAAGTTCACATAGCATTTCATCACATTTCCTTTTGTCTACCCCAAAAGCTGCAAACAAACCTTTAAAAAAATGTCTTATTTGCAAACAATGAAGGTCTAGGAACAAAATGATGCATACACATGTATGTTTTATGCAAGTTAGAAAGCTTGCAGAGGTTATTTTGCTACTTTGTTCTCATAAAATGGAGTTGCAAAATGTTCCTTTACATTTTAATACAACTTAATTTGTACAAAATGTCTAAAAACTCAACAGAAATGCATTGTAACACAAACAAATTCAACTTAATATACCTTCATGACAGGAGTCCCCAGTCTTCCCTGCAGGACAGATGCATCGTCCGGTTACAGGATCACATGGAGCTCCTCCACAGCCACAGGTCAGACGACAGCTCTCACCATATCTCAGTGATGGGCAGGCTGGAGACACAAAACAGATGAAAACAGCTTATTTTTTATTAAAAGCTACAACAGTCGGTCACAATAAAACAAGATGGGATTGCACACGCTTGCCAAACAAAGTGAAGAAATACTCAGGTCATTTTCTGTTTATTTATTCAGCCTCTGCCAATCGTCTCTGCAGAGTAAATTACCCCTGTCATGACCTGGCCTGCAACGTAAAACGCATACAATCCAGAAAATGTGGATTTCTTTTTTCATTTGGCTTTGACAAACCCAGCAAGCCTAAACCTGGACTGTTCATTGGTGCTGACACACTGCAACTCTGCTCTGTTATCTTAGTCCAATCCATGGAGACACAAAGTCTTGTTTTTCACTCATACACAATGTTCTGTATCACTTTAGATCACAACAACTTGAAGGCACACACATATTTGAGGCTGTCAAAAGAACACCTGCATTGACCAGGTGAAATATAAATGACAGCATTTTTGTATTCACCCATTAAATCCACACGTTCCATCAATTGCAGCAGGGAATGAATAGAAAAGGGCTTAATAGAGAAAGATAAAGAATTGCGAAAGGTTGCGACAAAGGTGGAGAAACTCATTCATATCAATTTGTGTTGACATCAGAAAGGACACGCAAGAGTACAAGCATGAAGTATGCAAACAATAACTGCACATGTAGGCACGTGTCAGTGTGCAAACCCACGTACTTCACACACATGCTGACAGTGAGTGATGCTCTACTATAATAGTGAGCGCCACATGAGAGCGCTGTGGAGTATAAAGGGGAAATCATACATTTAAAGGGGCCCTGTTATGCTTTTTAAGTTTTAAGTTTTCCCTTACCTGTAGTGTGTTGGTATTGGTTTTATCCCCCCACTGCCCGAAACGCCTCCATTGGACTCCTTTGATTACTTCCGTAACACTCCCACTTATTGGCTAGTGCTCCAACAACATGTACGTGATCCAATCCCATCGCATATTGTGTCTGATGATTGTGTTGAGCGTAGTGAGAGAAAAACCTTTCCTCACCAAGTTGACATTTTTCTCCGTGAAGACCTGCAGGACATCTCTGACTGCACTCCCCGGTCCGCGGGTCACATGACGCTCCACCTGGACAGTCACATGGCTGCTCACAGCCGGCACCGAAGAACCCTGGCTCACATTCTGCATTGAGACATGAACACATACACAAGCAAAGTGAGATAAAAACAGACAATCTCAAAGCACATATTTAAGCCTGGACGTAAACTAAAATCTTCAACAATTACTTTAATGGGAAATTAAGTTGGATATTTGTTTAAGTGCTTGTACCTTTCTCACACTGTGGTCCGTGGTAGGCGGTCTTACAGAAACAGCTTCCTGTTTTGGGGTCGCAGCCAGAGGAATGTTCTTGAACACAGTCACATTCCCGGGAACAGCCGGCCCCTTGCGTCCACCTGGGACAAGCTGAGAGACGAGATCAGTGTGAGGACAGACCAAGACATAAGATGTTCCCATGTTTATATGGTCAGTAATGGCTGTAACTAAATACATTAAAGGGGCCTTAATATCATGTTTTGTGGTGTTCCCTGTCCTGTTGTTAGTTATATAGGTTTGTGTGCATGTAAATGGTCTGCAAAGGCTAAAATCCCTGTGTTCCCTCCCCAGGGAGTTTCTCTCCCCACACTCCCCACCTGCCTGAAACACCTCCATTTGACTACTTTGTTTACTTCTGAAACATAGTGACATCACTGTGTAACACTTGCCCTTCTATTGGCTAGCCCTCAAACACATTGTGCGTGATAGGCTAAGCGGTTGGCCAATCACAACAGAGTCGTCCAGCTAACCAATCAGAGTAGACTAACGAAAGAGTTGTGGTACTTGTACTTTACTTGAGTATTTCAATTCTATGTAACTTTAAAGTTCTACTTAATCACATCTCAGTAGACACACATAGTGTACTTTAAATCTTAATTAAAACAATCTGTTGAACTAAAGGATAAAGTGTTCCTCATGGGTTTAGGAAAGGCTCTTACTTCTTGAGCTAAAGGAACGCACTTGGATCAGCTGGATAATACATGGCTACAGCTGTAAATTAAAAACAGGCAGTTATGTAACAACTAGTTGACTTTTTAGAGACAAAATATGATGCATTGTATAAAAGACGTACAAAAGTGCATTTTGCATGATAGGTCCCCTTTAAGTTAAGAATCCAAATCCTTCTTCCACCACTGTGTATGATGTCGTACAAAAAATAAATGCACATGAATGAAACTTATATACATATGAAAAGCAAGCTGGAAATCCTACAGTACTGCTTCCCTCAAACAACATATGGGAATGCTTTTCTTTCAAAGGTTAATCAAGGAAAACAAATTCACAGCAACTTCTGTGTGCTGAAGTAACAGTGGTGATAGTTAATTAAGGGAAGAATGTCAAAATGAATCCTGCTCGACTATCAGATTACACTTTAATACGAGCAAAACGGACACACCCAGCAACCGTGTTATCACAACTTCAGACCTCTGCCAGTTTAAGTCATGGGACCACTGCCTCCTTTTGCACTCAAATGATATCATACAAATGATGGCGCATCGTTACTGTATGATTTTCTAACCTCTTACAATGTTTTCTGAAAACTGTGTCACATTAGAAGAAGCCTTGAACAGATTGAGTGTTATGTAAGACTTTTAAAGCGTCCACATCGTCTCTGCATGAACAATCTGCACGAGTTTTGCCAAGATTCTCCCTCTTCGGCTACAAAACAACTGAACTCCGCTCCACCCTGTCCCTCTCGACATTGGCTTGATGCTAGGTGCAGCTGCAGGCTCTGGTTACACCCTCTCCACCCTCTCACTGTCCCCGCTGCAGGATGGAGCACACAGCTGTGAGGTTCTGATAATAATCCTCTTACACATTCTTCCATCATTCGGTTTGGTCTTAGAAGAGCGAGCAGCTTCCACACTGAAGAGCAGAGATTCGTCGCCATGTCAATACGGAGGCTTTGGAGCAACCCTAAAACTCTGGGGGATGTCAATGTTGTGACAGAGGAGCTGAAGAACCTTTATTATAAGAGGCTGATGCCGATTGAGAAATATTACGCCTTCAGTCACTTTCATTCCCCGTGCTACGAGGATGCAGAGTTCGACAATAAACCCATGGTGTTGGTGATGGGTCAGTACTCGACTGGAAAGACTACTTTCATCAGGTTAGTCAGAACATCCATGCTTTTTTGTGCAAGTAATCTGCTGATGTTCTAATGTTGGTTTGGACTTCAGGTATCTCATAGAACAAGATTTCCTTGGCAGCAGAGTAGGACCAGAGCCAACCACGGACTGCTTCACTGCCCTCATGCACGGAGAGGTGGAAGGCATCATCCCTGGAAATGCCCTCACAGTGGACCCCAAAAAGCCCTTTCGCAACCTCGACCCTTTTGGAAATGCTTTTCTGAACAGGTGACAAAAGCAGACGAGAAAGAGATAGAGGAGGGAGGATATTGTCCTACTATTTCTTCCACTTTTGGCAACATTTGTTGGCAATGTTCTGTCTTTTAAGACGGCCAAACATTGCAGTGTGAAGCTGTCTTATTAATATTCATTAAACACAATATATTCCAATGCATTATGTTGAAGTATTTATTCTTTCCAGGTTTCAGTGCGTCCAGATGCCAAATAAAGTCCTGGAGAGCGTGAGCATTATCGACACGCCGGGCATCTTAACTGCTGCGAGAAGAAAAATGAGTCGAGGTGAAATAACACTTTTCTAATTTCCTTTTCAAAGTTTATGGGTCTTCTTCTTCTACTTCCAAATATTCAGTTTTAGAAAGTTGGACAGCATTGTCGCTGTCAGGATGATTTAAATTCCTGGTAACAGAAGAGTCGAAGCAAATGCATTACAATAATAATATTCCAGCCTATTGAAATTCAAACACTTGAACTCAGAAGCACTGCAGCTGTAAGTAATATCACTGAGTTTGGGAGGAGACGAGCAGGACGAAAAAGCTGTCTCCCCTTTGTTTTATAAACACATTAATCTATGGGTGTAACTGACATGGCCTGCAACCAGTGAAAGCCTCTGGGATATACAGTATGTGTCTCTAGGTGTTGAGGCACAGAGACTTGCCTTAATGAGATCCCTGTGTTTTCATTCCTCATCCCCAGGCTACGACTTCCCAGCAGTGCTGCGCTGGTTTGCAGAGCGTGTGGATCGGATCATCCTGCTGTTTGATGCACATAAACTAGAGTTCTCCGATGAGCTCACTCGGGCCTTCGGAGCGCTGTGCGGACACGAGGACAAGCTGCGTGTGGTTCTCAACAAGGCCGACAGGGTGGACTCGCAGCAGCTCATGAGAGTGTACGGCTCCCTCATGTGGTCGCTGGGGAAAGTGTTTAAAACCCCGGAGGTCTTGCGGGTTTATATCGGATCTTTCTGGTCAGAGCCAAGGCAGGTGTGCGACCACTATCAGCTGATCGAGGTGGAGGAGGAGGACCTGCTGGCCGACATCAGGAACCTGCCGCGCAATGCTGCAGTACGCAAGCTGAATGACCTGGTGAAGAGGGCCCGCTTAGTGAGGGTGAGATATCTCATTATTCCATTTCAACCAATTATAACTGAGTTTAAAGGTCACCTATTATGCAAAATCCACTTGTTCATGTCTCTTCTACATCAACACGTGTACCCTCTGTGTAAAGAGATTCTGAAAGTTTCAGGAAAAAAGATTCTCTCTTTTTGTCCTGATCCATTTATATAAAAACCTGTCTGAAAATGAGCTGATCAGATTTTGGCCACTTAATGATGTCATAACAATTATTTGTCTTGTATAACCATTAGCCAATCACCAACCAAGGTAACCCCCCCCCCCCCACCTCATCACCTGAATCTCCTCCTAGAGCACCATTGTGTTCTTTTTAACCAAATATCTCTCAGAGGGGCGTGGGGAGGGGCTCCTTATTTTCATCTAAAGTAACAGACAGAGAATCAGCACTTTTGAAACAGGGCTGAAACAGAGGGGATTATGGGTAATGCTGCAATGATCTGTTTGGTGTTTGGAGCCAAACACTTCAGAGACATGTTCTGTATCTGAGACCTATAATATATTGATGAAAAACAGTATAATAGGGGACCTTTAAGTTATTCTGATTTCTCCTTTCTTGTCCTACTAGGCTCATGCCCACATCATCAGCTATCTGAAGAAGGAGATGCCGACTATTTTCTGCAAAGAAAGCAAAAAGCACAACCTGATTTACCAGCTTCCTGTGATTTTCACCAAGATCCAGCAACAGCATCGAGTCCCAGCGGGCGACTTCCCTGACTGCACCAAGATGCAGGTTAAACATGACTTTTTAATTTAATCTAACATGTTTTAGAATTGATTTACCAACTCTTAAACTTTACATGTGTTTGCATAACTTTCCAGGAGAAGCTTTTAGGTCAAGATTTCTCAAAGTTCAAGACGCTGAAGCCCAGTCTGATGGCCTCGCTGGATAAACTCCTGGCCACTGACATCGCCAACCTGGTGCCTCTTCTCCAACAACAGGAACTGAGGAAGGAAAGGAAGAAATCCCTCCCTGGAGTGCTGGACGGGGAGTTTTTGGGAACATTCAGGCGTGAGCATTACAAAAAAGATCCTTTCAAGGAATTCAGGAGAGACGACGAGAGCGGCGAGGCGGAATTCGTCGAGTGGGCGGTGGAGAAATACAAGCCGAAGTACGACGAGATTTTCTACAACCTCAGTCCAAACGGCGGCAAACTGAGCGGCACCAAAGTCCGAGAGTGGATGACCACCACGCTGCTGCCCAGCTCCGTGCTCGCTCACATCTGGAGGCTATCGGACGTGGACGGGGACGGCATGCTGGACAATGAGGAGTTCGCTCTGGCGGTCCACCTCATTGAGGGGAAGCTGGAGGGACACTGGCTCCCCCGAGAGCTGCCGTCCCACCTGGTGCCCCCGTCAAAACGGCTCAGTACAGCCAGCGATGAAGAGCAAACATGAGGTTCTGTGTACTTTATGTAGACAATTGTACATAATCTAGTAGTAGCAGTACAGAACTAACACAATGTACAGAACCTGAGAAGGTGTTATCCATTTGTATGATAATCCTCATGACACCTAAAAGATTGGCATTAATGGTTTCGCATCATATTGTTACCCATATTTCACTTCTGCATCCAATCAAGTAACCGGGAATGAAGAATGATACAGAAGCATTTATATTTTTCTTTCAGGTTAAACAATTGTTTTTTGTTTTTCTTACACAAAAGAGCTGAGGGGAATGAAGTACTAAGAGTAGCCGTCCACCTGGTGCCCCCGTCCAAACGACTCGTTGTACATTATATAGACAATTTGTACATAGTTTCCGAACATAATCTGGAAATAGTGATTAACAAAAACTGACAAAATGTCCAGAACCAAAATAGTTGTTATCCACTTATATGTAAATCACCATGATGCCAACACCTAAAGACTGCCAATGAGGGTTTAACTTCATCCGTTTTTTTAAACATTCAATCATACAGAAGAGCATTATGAACCACATGTTTATTTGTATTCGCTAATAATCGGAATCTGTAAAGCAATCAGAGAAATGTAGTGGAGTCAAAAGTAAATAATGGCTCCCAAAATTGTATGGTTATGGTTTGGAAATGTGAAGTAGCATAAAATGAAAATAGTTTATTCATTGCAGAACCTAATCACATTCTACCATTGCTCATGTATCACATTCTCCTAAAGTATATTTTTTATCAATTGTATTAACTCGTAAACACCACTGACCAGTATTATTTCAAACTAACACATGGGCGGTTCTAGAGAGGGTCAAACAGGGGCCAGTGCCCTTAGATTAGAATATATGATAATATCATTTGTAATAGTGTTGCAGCAAAGACTGTCTAAATGAATCAAATACTAGTCATGGTTTTTTATGTTATTTTTTGTGGGCTATGACTTTATATTGAATTAAAAATGTTAAAATCTTGAACACTGTCTTTGTCTCTCATCAAATGTACACCACTCATACATATATATATAGTTGTTACACTGCTGTGATGCAAGTAAAATGTCACACTTGATCTGACCATTAAAGTATTATTGTATCTTAAATACACGTAACTGGCCCCCGTGGTCAAATTGGTCTAGAACCAAGAAGGAGGCTGTGGCTCAGTGGGATAGTGCGATGAACTTAGTGCGCAGAACTTTGAATCAGGGGATAGCAAGTTCAAGTCCCACTGCAGTGAGCATGTCATTGTGTCCCTGGGCAAGACACTTCACCCCAAATTGCTCCTGTGGGGATTATCCACAGTACTGAATGTATGTAAGTCGCTTTGGATAAAAGCGTCTAACAAGTGACATGTCATGTAATGTAACATGTAAGAACCACGGCTTTGTTAATACTTTCATCAGCAGCATTATGCAGTAGGTATTATATTGAGGTCATTGGGACTCACACAGGTGGCAGAGACGGCCGTACAGTCCCGGAGAGCAGAGGCAGCCCCCGTACAGACGGTGGCAGTGTCCGTTGTTGGGACAGTTACACTTTCTCCTGCAGTGCATCCCGAAATGACCCCTGGGACAACCTGTTAACACGAAAAATGCGACTTTAGAACATTTTTTTTTTTTTAAATAAGGTCGAACAATAAGATAAGGCAAAATTGTGAAACTCAACATTGTGGTTTTTTTCTACGTTTTTCAATGTATTTTTGTTGCTGTTAGCTTGTTTGTTGACTTTTACATTGAATTGGAGATTCCTGCTACAGTATGAGCCCTGAGCAATTTTCCTATTTTACCTCCAGAATTGTCTTTATCATTAATTGTTGTGTTCCTGTTGCTTTGTTTTATTGTGTACACAAATATAATTTCCAAATAGCTCCATGAATTCATCACTAAGAGACAACCTATGACAGGGTCGTTAGGAGATATTGCTTCATATCTACGGGGCAAACTAAAAAAAAATGTTTAGCACCACCACCTTAGAGCCTGGTTTTTGTATTCACACCTGTGTGTACCTTTAGGAATGTTTACAAACCGTCCTCGCAGAGCAGGCCCCGCACCCCGGGGGGGCACACACAGTTCCCGGTCACAGGGTCACACAAGCCTCCGTTCTGACACCGACACAGACTGTTACAGGCCGGCCCATAGGTCCCCTGGGAGCACGCTGAGAGAGAGAAGCATGGGGAAAGAGCGTTAATACCAGAACAGTTGCAGTATAAATTCATGGATTTGGGGGATTTATTTGACATTAAAAACAATGACTCGATTCAAGAAGATTCGCAGGATTTATTATCATATGCACAATATCTACGAAGTGTTTTTGGCAATGAAGATCTTAAGTCTCCGGATCCTCCAACAGTAAATCATACAATATACTTAAGAAAAAGAAATTTGACCATAAAACAATGGTGCAAGTAAAATTGAGGAAAGAACATCATGTTCATTTTAATATTGTGAATTGCGCACATTTCTGTTCAACAGCATTTTACACACTTTACTGTACTTCGTTTTTGTTGTATATTATATATTTCAGGTAAATATTTCTCTATATTTGAATGTTATAATAGATTTTAAAATAGTTCTATTTTTGGTCATTTTCCGATTCAAAATCTCTTACTATGTCTATGTATACACCAAAGCAAATTCCTTGTATGTGTAAACCTACTTGGCGACAAACCTGTTTCTCATTCAGATTGTGATGTAAGAGAGTAGAGCAGCTGGGTAATGCTTCAGTGTTAAGAAGTCAGTCAACACTTCCTGTGTTTCCCCACGCTGCGTGCCCTCCTGACTCCTAATCTCTCTGGCCTTGTTAGCAATTACTGCAAGAACCAGCTGGCTAAAGTGTAACAATCCATCAAGAGAAAGTCTGCTTGAATGCCATGTCACACTTTCCTCAAAGCTGTTTTTACGTCACTACACGAGAAGATAAGGAAGTTTAATATAATACATGGTAGCTTATAGCTTTACAAACACTGAAAATGCATTTCAATTAAATGAACAGGCAGGAAATGCTTTGAGTACGGAGATTAAGTTACAAATCACTTTTTTAAGATGAAGTGGTGCTCTCTCTCAGTACAACCAAAGTACATGAACAGTACATTGGGTGGGGTTATGGGACATTAATTCTGCTTCATAATGATGGAATTGATACTGGGGTGTTTCTTATGGCATGTTAAGGCATGTTGAAGTAACATGGAAAACACACAGAGCTGTTTGAATGGCACAACATACTTTGTATACCAACTGTGAAGGCTTCGAGCCTCACAACCAACCACACATCCTAAAGGTTATGCTTTTGTTTTAACATCAAACATTACAGACACATTTTTTTAAACAACTTTATTTTTACTAGATTGAGTGCAGATTGCGTGTGTGTGTGTGCGTGCGTGCGTGCGTGCGTGTGTGCGTGCGTGCGTGCGTGCGTGCGTGCGTGCGTACGTGCGGGTCTTGTGAAGAAGAGAACTCAGAATGTCACCCATTTTGGTGACGGTTTTGTTTATTAATTAATTAATGCTCTAGATTGTATCTGTTTATATTATTAATAATACACCTTTTTTTTTTTAAATGATTTTGTTACCCATCCTAAAAACTGTATATATATCTTGGGTAAATAAAATCCTTATTCTTTTCCACCTCTACCTGCATTCCTAGTTGTTGCGTACCCTGGTCCTTCACACCAACATGTGAACACTCTGGGATATGATTCAATTACATATTGGCCTAACTTAGGTTTTAACAAATGTTCCTTGCTGAATAATTGTGTTACATTTTATACAAAATAGTGGTGTGTGTATGTCTACAAAATGTTAGTGACATGTAAACTGTACAAAAGGGACTAAAACACAACATAGTGTAATACAGATTGTTTATGTTATGTACGTTCAGATCAAGAACGTATGAATGCATTATTTTACTCTTTCTTGTTGCTTCAACTTCATATAAGATATAAAAGTGACACTTCAGACAAAGCTGTTTTGTCTCATGTGTTTTTTATTGTAATCTATTTTTACTTAATTCGATTATATTTTTCTGTGTGTTTGGAGCACTTTTGAACTGTGTGTTTTACTTACTCACTTACTTACTTCCCTTATAGACGACTGCCTACTTTTATCTTTGCTTCAGGCATCATCTAATCCTAAATATGCTTCCTATATCCAGCCCCATCACTTTCAAGGCATGCGTGTGGATACTGCCACCACCTCAGTTTATTAAAAAAGTGACAGATTGCCTCTAACGGACTCCTCTTATGATTACCAGCCTTTCTGGGGTTCAGACCAGAGACAGCCATTAATCATGGCGCTGGATGGGAACAATGGAGCCTTGCTTTCTAACCCTGCAGTGGGCATCCTTGGCCTGAGGCGGTGCTCTCGCTGTGGGCCTGGCCTCGCTCCAGACAGATTGATTCCCCCGGTGCTCAGTGTTCAGCAGCCCATAAACAACGCAGCCTCCCACACAGAGAAGCAGACAGCTTTGATACATGGCCCTGCGTCGCTGCACACAGGGAGCCATCGCACCGCTCTCTAAAACTAGGACACATTGCTACAGGACGTTTCAATAGATCTGTGAGGAGACCAGGTGTGTATAAGTACTGAAGAGGGGTGCAGGAATGAGTCCTAAAACCAAGATATGAGTTAGCATGTTACCACCTTCTCTCAAAATCAACGTGTTGTTGGTTAGATGGATGAAATAAGATCTGTGGTTCACAAAACCTTTAGAGATTTTAACATGTTTTATGACATAAAAGGTCAGTAAATACGCCACTGGTGAATGTCTGAAGCTCCTATGTGTCATTATATGCTGGTTGCTAACAAGTGACTACATGAGAGTAGTAAAGTAGTAGTAGTAGTAGGGAGGCTGTGGCTCAGTGGAAGTGTGCTGGACTTCGAATCAGGGAGATAGCAAGTTCGAGTCCCACTGCAGTCAGCATGTCGTTGTGTCCCTGGGCAAGACACTTCACCCCAAATTGCTCCTGTGGGGATTGTCCACAGTACTGAATGTATGTAAGTCGCTTTGGATAAAAGCGTCTAACAAGTGACATGTAATGTAGTAAAGGTCATCACACCAAACATTAGCCGCCTTTAGCTTAGCAACAGTGATGTGAGGTCATGTGACCCTGATGTAGTTCCTTTATGGCCTAACATTTGCGTTTAACTTCTCGTTACTGCATCTATGCTTCAAACATGAAACGATTCTGTTAATATGTGGAGATTATCCTTATGATCGAAACATGAAAGTATAATGAATGGGATTTCCACAGAACTTGTTTTCCGCAATTTCAGCGCTCAGTCGTCCTCAGTTTAGGATTTTAATTGCCCTCGTATTTATATATTGTATTTTGGTCCCCCATTTATGCAAGTCTTAGTTAAAGATTCATTTATTTTTGGGCTTCATTGATTAGAAAATGTGGGATTCAACAAGTTTGATAAATGCAGGCTCATTATAATATACTGCCCCCCTTATCTGACCCCTAGATTCCACCGGGTCCGTCTGCGGCGCATTACGGGCGCGTTACGGGCGCGTTACGGCTGCGCCGCGGTGCTCACGGCGATCGCGGCCACTGTAGTCAATGGGTGCTATTCCACCACACGCACGGCACAGAAGCGTCCCAGAAGCGGCTCGGCGCAGGGCTCCTCTAAAATTAGGATCGAATCCTATTTTTGTCGCGGCGCAGCCGTAACGTAAGGTCGGGCAGGCAGGAAGTGGAACTTTCAGAGCATATATAGCATATATATATAGATATATACACACACACAAACTCATTTTGCAGACCCTATCCCTCCGTAGTCTTTCAAGTAGGAGGAGAAATGCCAGCGTTCTCCTCCGGTTTACAGGCACTGTGTAAATTATATATATAGAATAATTATGATGATGAATGCATTTTTTTACCACTAAAATACAGCAACACATCTTTGATTCATGTTGTTTATAACTGGAATATTACAGTTATTATTAACTTTGTCTGTACAAAGTAGCCTGTCCAGGAAATATGCCCAAATCAACAAAAACTGCGAGCCGGCAGGCAAGACGCTCCGCTTCTGAAATGCTTCTGAAACACGCCTGGTAGGGTATGACGCCGGAGGAGGCCGGACCAAAACCGCAACGCGGCGCAGACGGACCCGGTGGAATCTAGGGGTGAGTATCCGAACCAACTGTTTGAAAACAACATCCTTTTTCTTTCGAAAGCCAACGAGAGCAGACTGGGCTTTTTTTGAGAAAAGACAGGTGGTAACATGCAGCTTCAGAGTGAGAGAGTGCTGACCCTTAAAATCACATCTCTTGGCATGGGAAGGAATAAGTGTTGTCCCCGAAATGTCAAAATATTCCTTTGAATAGTCCTCGGACATCATGAATTTTAATGTTTGTGCATACTTTCAGCATTTTGAGAAAACTGGAGAAGGCAAGGTTGCATAGAGTTTAGCCCACTGCCAAACTGCGGGGGGGGAAATGTGTTACAAAGAAAATACATTACGCACAACAAACAGATGTAACTGTGATCGTCTGATGGCTGTACTCACTCTTGTTACAGATGATCCCTGTCCATCCGGCTGCACACTCACACCGGTCTCTGTTCTCACTACACACTCCGTGATCACAGTCCTCACAGCTCACACTGCAGTCTTCCCCGAACGAGCCATCCAGACACACTGAAACAGAAACGGTCCCCTGAGAAAAGGTTTTTGCTTTCATGACTTCCTGGCCCTGAAGACTTCATGAAACAATAACATCATTTTATCACCGGGAATACATTTAAGTGTCATGATTTATTTTACTGTACCTATGCTGCTGGACAGTCTGAGCTCTCCTCGGCGCCCCCTCTGGATCTCTACTTCCCTGTCACCACCATCACTATCATCTTCATCACTAACATAACGGGAGTGGAAGGCCGCTGTGTACTGCAGGAGCTGAGGAACCTTGCGAAACAGCAGGTCAGGTAATCTATGGACCTCCAGCTGTTCATCCTCGTCTTCCTCCTCATCCTCTTCATCTTCCAGTTCCCCATACAGAGCTACAAAAAAAAAAAAATACAGTTAAACCATTTTTTTGAATGGCTAAAACACTTATAGGCTTAACACGTCCATAAATAACAGACCGTTCCAAGAAAAGCTAATCAAAATGTCACTCACAAATGCAGGAGTGTTGGTCCTGATCCAAGCGGAAACCCAGCTCACAAAAACACTCGTAAGTTCCCAGGGTGTTGACACAGTCGTGTTCACAGCCTGAAGTCTCTGCCAGGCACTCGTCAACGTCTGACAGAAAAATATACAAACAAGCAGCTTTAGGGAAGGTACTTTACACAACTACTTCACACTGGAAGAATGTGAAGTACAGCAAAGCTAGGGACACATATAGGTTGGTTAACAAAGGTATTTAAAACTGCTCAAAATGATTTGGATTGTGAATGCATGTGATAGAAAATATAATGCTAGACAGTCACATGCCAGTAACGTGATTCAGTGCCTACTTGTTCAGAGGGCATACATGAACCAAACATATGAAATAGCCCATTAGAAAATTGAGAAAACACATTGTCAAAGGTGGTTCGATTACAGGTGAAAAGCATTGGCAAATTATATTACAATAAAAAATTAAAAAATGGTCCAAAAAAGTTTGTCATTTCTGTAGTGGCAAAACAAATGGCAATAAGTGATTCGACTACATTCATCACTATACACAAAAGATGAATTACCAGCAAGCTACTGCTTACTGTATTGAAGCTGCTAGCACTGCACACAACACATAGGATATGTGGTAAAGGATAATAATAGAAAAAGCCTGTGTCATTGGTTGGTGGTTGAACAACAGGTTTATATTGATGACGCACAACTTTGATTTGCAGGCGGGTCGTGCAGATTAGCCTCAGGTGGACCTTTCCTTTTGTTTAGTTACAGTATTTTACTTTTGCCTCATTTCTTTTAACTTCTTCTACCAATCTAGCAGTTCCTCTAGATCACATGTGTCAAACTCAAGGCCCGGGGGCCAAATCAGGCCCTTCGTGGATTTAATTTCGGCCCGCAGGATAATTTCTAATTACTATTAGATCTGGCCCGCCGGTATATTGCACGCACACCTTCACTCAATCCTGAGGGTCTCCTCAGCTCAGAGCCTGACCCCAAACATTGATGACCTTGCACCCAAGATGAGATGCCAAGTATCTGGCTTGAACTAGCATCACAGAGCAGCACACTGAGTTTACATGGATGTTTCCTTCTGCACTTTGTTTCTTGAGACAACAGGGCATGTTTGTTTTTTCTTTGAGGGAAATAGTTTTTTTGAAGCTGTTGTTGGCCTGTGGAAAAATGTAATCATAAGAAATGACTCTGGAAAAGCTGCAGATAGAGCCATAAGAAATGAATGCAACTGATTATTTAATGTTTAATGTTGTTTTTATAGGCAATCATTTAAGCTGTGTTAGTTCCAGGTTTAATATGTGCAATAAGTTCATTTCAATAAGTTTTGCAATAAACATTGAACCAGTCCGGCCCTCGACTAGTACCCATTTTTTAATTTTGGCCCACTGTGTATTTGAGTTTGACACCCCTGCTCTAGATTGTACAGAGTGTGGTTGTCAGTGAGCAAAGTATTCTGTTTTCCGCTCTGAAATGGCCTAGAAAAGTGGCATTTCTGAGAAATCAGTTAGTGTAATTTATGTCCTGTCCACAACAACAAAAAAACACTCAATCAGGATTCGTACCATCGCAGCCGCAGCCGTCTGGGTTGAGTCTGTGGCCGGCTCTGCAGCTGCACTCGTAGCCGCCCGGGTAGTTTCTGCAGAAGTGACGGCAGCAGGCCCCCCCACTGACACACTCGTCACTATCTGAGGGAAGCACGCAGCGGGACAGTTTCAACAGATGGTTGGAAAGACAAGCAGAGAGTCACAAAGTGGATGTAAATCACAGAAAGCAAATGAAGAAACTAGTTGACTTCATAACTTTATATAGTCATTCATTTCCCTTCCTACTTCCTTTTTACACACATATCTACATCCCCTTCACCCGTTAATCCCCCCCTACCTCCATTCATCCCTTGCTCCCTAGATCCCCACATCCATTTCTCCCTACATCTCTTCATCCTCTCATCCCTCCCTATTTCCCTTCATTCCTCCCTCCCTATATCCTTCCATCCCTTCCTCCATACTTCCCTTCATCCCTCCCTCCTTACATCCCTTCATCCATTCATCACTTCCTCCCTACACCTCTTCGACCCTTGATCCCTTCCACCCTGGTACCCTTTTCCCATGTATCCCTCCTTCACATCATCCCTAGATCCCTTCATCCCTTCCTTCCTACACTGAAACATGGACCACACCCCCCAAACGAGTCTCCCTGGACTTCAGTCTTTCCTCCAGACCAGCCTAAAAGACGACATCCTTCATCCTTCTTCACCTCTTCCCATTTCCTTCTCAGTTACCACCTGTCATTAATTCTTAAACAGACATATTGTTGAGGTGTGGTCTTTTCTAGTGAACTTACCCACACAGGTCTTCCTGTCCAGGGCCAGCTGGTAGCCATGGTTACAGGAACACAGCGGTCCGTTGGTGGTGTGTTCGCAGTGATGAGAGCAGCCTCCGTTGATCTTCTCACAGCTGTTCACAATCTCCATCTCAATGCCTGGGGAGGAGAAACACCAAAACATCAATTAAAGCGCATTACAAGATACTAAACATACGGAAAATGTTACGGGGCATTTGTGAGAATGATTTATTGTTTGTCCTCGCTGCAGATGCAGAAAGGAAATTCCCATTATGAAGCACAGAAATCATTTTAATTACCGTTGACATTTATTTGATGTGTACTTACCTACTACTGACATTCATTTAGAATAGATATTCCTGATGTATTATATGAGAAGTATCATTGCTATCCAATATGTGTCCTAAAACTCTTAGTTTTGATTATTTTGATAATTACAGGCATGCACACAAGCTAGAGGGCATCTTACATGCAGTGCACTTATTTATGTCATATTTTGTGAAGCAAATAATCACAATAAATATGGCCTATCTATATATTTAAGATAGGTATGTTTCATGATAAGTTGCAAGGCTTTTATTGTCATGTGTGCATAGCTACAGTGTATATATGACAATGAAAATCTTAGGTCACAGGCTCCTCCCACAGTGCAACACAATAAACAGATAAAATAGTACTATTTCTAAACTAGTAATACAAATGTAGAAGTTATGAGATTATTTGCACAAAGAAATGTCTGCAACAGTGTCGCTGGGATGTGTGGAAGGCTTTTTTTTTTCATTTGTTACGGTCTTTACTTACGGTAGCACTGTTTGCCATCAGCACCCAGTTCAAAGCCCGGATTACACACACAGCTGAAGGAGCCCAGCGTGTTGACACATCTGTGGGAACACTTGGCACGGCCCGAACCGCACTCATCAATGTCTATAGGAAACACAAAGAATATATAACAACAAACTATTCATTTCAAAAATCTATCTGTTTAGTACTTTCTGATCTCAATATCACACATAAAAGTGTGCATTTGGGAAAGAGTTATTAATGGTTACTCTTATTTCTGAACTGTCTTGGAACAGAGGAATTTACACGTAAACATTTTGAAAATAGTTTCCCTTTAAGCAAGCATTATCCTCTGTTTCAAAACAATGAAGAAAATACTTCCTCCCGCAGGAAGACTCTGTCAGGTCTCAAGTTTCTTTGGCTTCTAGGTAAGGAAACATCAGCAAGAATAGTTTCCAACAACAGCCTCTCAAGAATCAATCAATCAATACGGGTCTGTTGTAACAGATTTGATTTCAAGCCAATGTTTAGTGTAGTTGTAATTTATGGAGAAATCATAAAAGTCATTGTCTTAAACTGTATCAGACTGTATCAGATACACATTGTGTGTGTGTGTGTGTGTGTGTGTGTGTGTGTGTGTGTGTGTGTGTGTGTGTGTGTGTGTGTGTGTGTGTGTGTGTGTGTGTCTGTGTGTGTGGCCGAGCATTACTATACTTGTGGGGACCTAAATCATGTGTTGGTTATGGTTAAGGTTAGGATAAGTCTCCAGGAAATGCATGTAAGTCAATGTAATGTCCCCTGAAGTGATGTATACATGGTATGTGTGTGTGTGTGTGTGTGTGTGTGTATGTGTGTGTGTGTGTGTGTGTATGTGTGTGTGTGTGTGTGTGTGTGTGTGTGTGTGTGTGTATGTGTGTGTGTGTGTGTGTGTGTGTGTGTGTGTGTGTGTGTCAGGTTCTATGGGTTTTTTCTGCTTTTTTCAATGTTCTGCCTGAACTTGAGAGGCTGTTATTCTTTATTCATCCTTCAACAGTTGACTTATGTAGACTTTTATTGGATTTTTTTTCGGGTTGAAAATCAAGGCGTCTCTTAAGGCTCACACACATTGATTCCAAATGTTTCCTTTGTGGTTTCCCAGAAGAGACACAAAGAGAGCAGCCGGCATAATATCTGAATCTTTATCGTTGTTTTCCCATGGCCTCAATGCCTTAATAAATACAGCCAATTGCTTGTTTACCTAAAACGTATCATTACCTTAGAGAAATTGCGCCTCTCAGATGGAACCACTTTATGCTTATTGGTATTCAAACAACTAAGAATCTAAAATGGGAACTAATTCAAGGAATACATTGTTTATTTATTACTTTATTAATATTTCCTTTTGTCTCAACAGTGTGTGATGCCTCACCTTCACAGTTCTTCCCGTCTGCAGCCAGTGTAAAACCAGGTCGGCAGCTGCAGTGAACCCGAGTGTCTTCTGAAAGACACAGCTGGGCGCAGCCTCCATTCCTGTCCGCACAGGGGTCCCTCACTGACACACACACACACACACACACACACACACACACACACACACACACACACACACACACACACACACACACACACACACACACACACACACACACACACACACACACACACACACACACACACACACACACACACACACACACACACACACACATTTTTAAAGTCCAGAAGGAGAAATGTAAATTCCTGCTTTTAAATGTACAGTAACTGTTTCCGAAGCTTCTTCTCAAACTCCTTTCCTCTCCACATCGTCCTACCTCGCACTCAAGTGGTTTTCGCTTTTATTTTGTCCAATTTCTAACATCAGAATCACTTATCAGAGAGATACTCTAATGAACGGTTTGTCCAGTGTTTTCTGATGTTTGCTCTCATCTGTTGGACTTACATTCACAGTGTCGCCCGTCTCTCTTCAGCTGGTAGTTCTTCCTACATTCACATTTGTAGTGATTGTTGCCCGTGTCCACACACTTATGCTCACATCCACCATTCAGCACTGAGCAGGAGTTCACAGCTTATAAGGACAAGAAACAAAACTTCATTAATTAGCATTAACATACATGGTGAGCAATTGCAGAATTGGCCGAAACTGGAAAACAATGGACGGTTATGGAACATTTACAATAAACTCTCATGGGATATCATTGAAAAAAAGGTTGGCAATCTAAAATGGCTTTCACACCTCAAACTCTAAAGCCATGTAATGATGGAAAACTCCTGAGTAAAGGGTGAAAACTGGAAAATCATATTTAAGCCAGGTCCAACGGGCACCCCTGGTTACTTCATAATGATCTTTCCATCTCATTACTCCTGTGATTTAATGATGTGCCAAATATGAATATCAGCCGTGTGCCTTCTGTGCGCTAAACACAGACATGATGACACCGACACACAGCAATGACTTCCACAGACACAATTAGCTGTCCCTGGGCCTCCATCCTCAACCTTTAGCAAGCAGTCAAAGAAATGAAGAATTAACCTGTTAAGCCCGAGAGCCCCTGGTAGAGGGGGCTGCGGGTTTTTTTTCACTAAACTTAATATTTAAAAACGTATTCATGTGTCATACCAGATTAACGGGCGGGAAGAAACTCAGCTAACTGATAATACAAACCATTTTTACCAAAACAAAACACAAGTCTCATAAGAAGCGTCTAAATGACCCCTGAGCGAAAAAATGCTATGGCACTTAGCACAGAACTCAAGGTAAAAATACCCTTATTACAAGATATCAGATTAAAGCTGAGATTCCACAGATTATATAGGTATTAGTATTATCACTGAGCGATCAGAACTCGCGACAGGGGAAGCAAACACAGACATCACAACACGTAGCTTTACGGAGCATTCACGGGAGATCGTCTCACCTTAGCTGTTATTCTGATCAAAAGTCGTGTTCAATGGCATTACAACGATAAATACGCTGCTGAAGGTTAATCCATAGGTTAATCCAATGTGTCTGTCACTTTGAAAAAATTATTGATAATCCATAATTCCATTTTAATGTAAAAATCGGAGATGTTATATTAGCTGCTAATGGTAGCCACCAGAGTGTATCGCAGAGTGAAAAATAAAACCACGAGCAACAAAGGAGTAGTGATTTCCAGCAAGTAGCAAGTTCTCCCATTACTTACAGGTTTTATGGTGCTAAATAAGGGGAAAAGTGGCTTCATTTCTCCTTTCAGATCAGGTTAGACACTGATATTAATCATGGAAGCTCAGTAATCATATTATTTTTGCACTGCAGTAATTCAAATACAGACATTCTTTGAGGTATTTTCCTACACTGGATGACCCTTTCAGAGTTATTACTTGTGGTTCTAATACCTTTAATATTCTCTCGTTATTATATTGCAGACATTTAGCTGACACTTTCATCCAAAGTGACTTATAAGTGCATTTAACCACAAAGAAACAAACCCAGAAAGGAAGGTTTGGCTTATTGATCGCTATTGTACTTGCAGCATCATTGCTAAGTGCTACATAGAAGTAAGTGTTTTTTTTAAATGTATTCATATATTTATTTATTGGTTTTTGTATTTTAGTAGTTATTAGTATTGTTTGTTTTTTTTACTTATTGGCCAAGTTACAGTTAAAACAGTATTACACTCGTGTTCATCATCTTATTTGTATAACAAAAATGTATCAATCGTCTTATCTAAGGCAAGAAAGCAGATATGTGTAATTCTTAAAATATGAATTTAATCCTATATGGAGCAATTATCTACTACAGAAGCCTAATTGTTGAAAATGCAATGTATATGTCTTAATCCTCTTTGCCACTGAGGAATTCTGCAAACATTCATCAATATTAGTAAGGGGAAAATGCAGAATGTGTGCAGGAGTTCATTTACTTTTTAAGTTGTGCAATAAATACTCTTGTTTAGCACTTACTGATGCAGGTCCGTCCATCAGAGTGCATGCGGAAGCCCTCGTTGCACTCGCAGTGGTGAGAGCCCGGTGTGTCCACACACGTCTGCTGGCATCCTCCATTCAGCTCCTCACACTCATTGACATCTGAACACACACACACACACACACACACACACACACACACACACACACACACACACACACACACATATAAGCATGTATAAATGTTCATTAAAGGTGCCCTATTATACTGTTTTTCATCAATATATTATAGTTCTCAGATATATACAGAACATGTCTCTGAAGTGTTTGGCTCCAAACACCAAACAGATCATTGCAGCATCCCATAATCCCCTCTGTATGTTATTATGTTGCATTGTTGGAGAAGCCTGTGACATAAGATTTTCAACTGCATAATTACTCTGTAGCTATGTCAGATTGACAATAAAGAACCTTGAACCTTGAACCTTGAACCTTGTTTCAGCCCTGTTTCAAAAGTGCTGATTCTCTGTCTGTTACTTTAGATGAAAATAAGGAGCCACTCCCCACGCCCCTCTGAGAGAGATTTGGTTAAAAAGAACTCAATGGTGCTCTAGGAGGAGATTCAGGTGATAAGGTGGGGGGGGGGGGTTACCTTGGTTGGTGATTGGCTAATGGTTACACAAGCCAGAACATCGTTATGACATCATAAAGTGGCCAAAATCTGATCAGCTCATTTTCAGACAGGTTTTTATATATATGGATCAGGACACATGTTGATGTATAAGAGACATGAACAAGTGGATTTTGCATAATAGGTGACCTATTAAAAACGATTCATTCAAACAACTGAACAATGCCATAAACCCAAAGACTGCATGATAACCAGAACCACTTCAACAAGGCAAGGCAAGGCAAGGCAAGTTTATTTATATAGCACCTTTCAACACAAGGCAATTCAAAGTGCTTTACAAAAATGGAAGACATTAAGAAAATGGCATTTAAAATCAGTCATTAAAAAGAAAAGATAATAAAATAAACATTAAAAGAAAAAATACATGGATAAAAGTTACAGTGCAGTTTAAGATATGAATAGTTCAATTAAAAGCAGCGGCAAAAAGAAAAGTCTTCAGCCTGGATTTAAAAGCAGTAAGAGTTGCAGTGGACCTGCAGGTTTCTGGGAGTTTGTTCCAGATATTTGGAGCATAATAACTGAATGCTGCTTTACCATGTTTAGTTCTGACTCTGGGGACAGAAAGCTGACCAGTCCCTGATGACCTGAGAGATCTGGATGGTTCATAATTTAGCAGTAGGTCAGACATGTATTTTGGGCCTAAACCATTCAAAGCTTTATAAACCAGCAACAATATTTTGAAATCTATTCTTTGACACACAGGAAGCCAGTGTAAGGACTTCAGAACAGGAGTGATGTGATCCACTTTCTGAGTGTTAGTGAGGACTCGAGCAGCAGCGTTCTGAATTAGCTGCAGCTTTCTAATAGATTTTTTAGTGAGACCTGTAAAGACACCATTACAGTAGTCCAGTCTACTGATGATAAAAGCATGGACAAGTTTTTCCAAATCCTGCTGTGACATTAGTCTTTTAATCCTGGATATATTCTTTAGGTGATAGTAGGCTGATTTAGTAACTGTTTTAATGTGACTGTTGAAACTCAGGTCAGAGTCCATGACTACACCTAGATTTCTGGCTTTATCTGTTGTTTTGAACATTGCAGACTGAAGCTCAGCGCTAACTTTTATACGTTCTGCCTTGGCTCCAAAAACCATTACCTCAGTTTTATCTTTGTTTAATTGGAGAAAGTTCTGACACATCCAGTCATTGATTTGTTCAATGCACTTACTCAGTGTTTGAATTGGAGCATAATCTCCTGGTGAAATTGTTACGTAAATTTGTGTGTCATCCGCATTGCTATGGTAACTTATTTTGTTGTTTTTCATTATCTGAGCCAGTGGTAGCATGTAGATGTTAAAGAGAAGAGGCCCCAAGATGGAGCCTTGAGGTACCCCACATGTCATATTTGTCAACTCAGATGTGTATTTACCTATAGAAACAAAGTTTTTTCTGTCCTTTAAGTAGGACTCAAACCAATTTAGAGCTGTTTCCGAAAGTCCCACCCAGTTTTCTAGTCGGTCTAGTAATATGTTGTGGTCAACAGTATCAAACGCATCACTGAGATCTAATAATACTAACACTGAAGTTCTGCCACTGTCTGTGTTTAAGTGGATGTCATTGAAGACCTTTACAAGAGCAGTCTCAGTGCTGTGGTTTGGACGAAATCCTGACTGGAACACATCCAAACAGTTATTTAAATGCAAGAAGTTACTCAACTGTTGAAATACAACTTTTTCAATGATTTTACCTAGAAATGGCAGGTTTGATATTGGCCTGTAATTGTTCATTACTGAAGCATCTGGATTATTCTTTTTTAAGAGCAGTTTAATGACTGCAGTTTTCAGTGCCTGTGGAAAAATACCTGAGTGAAGAGATGTGTTTACTATATGAAGTAGATCTGAGGCCATGCAATGAAGAACATCTTTGAAAAATCCTGTTGGAATAATATCAAGGCAGCAGGAGGAGGATTTCAGAAGTTAAATAATGTCCTCTAAATGTTTATCATTAATCTGATGGAATTGTGTCATGGTGTTTGAATTGATATTAGGTGGACACAGGGACAACACATTTGCTGTACCTGATGCAGAGGCACTGACTGCTTGTCTAATTTTCTGAATTTTGTCAGTGAAGAAGGAGGCAAAATCATTGCAAGCCCTGGTGGATAGAAATGCAGATGCTACTGACACTGGGGGGTTAGTTAGTCTGTAGACGGTAGCAAACAAGGCACGTGCGTTGTTTTTGGTAATGATGTCAGAGAAGAAAGACTGTCGTGCGTTTTTCAATTCCAAATTATAAAGGCCAAGTCTCTCTTTATAGATTTCAAAGTGAACCTGGAGATTTGTTTTTCGCCACCTACGTTCAGCTTTTCGACACTCTCTTTTTTCTGTTCTCACGGTCATGGCCTTTCTCCATGGAGATATTTTCTTGCCAATCACTTCCTTTCCCTTAGTTGGAGCAATGGCATCTATAACATTTTTAATTTTTGAATTAAAATGATCTACTAGCTCATTTACTGAGATGTTAGCAGGGGCAAGTGTGGATGAAAAATTATGAGTAAACATTTCCCTAGTATTTTCAGTTAAATATCGCTTTGTGGTTACCTCTTTCTGAACATTTTTGTGAACAGAAATAGAGCTCTCAAAGAAAACACAGGAATGATCAGATAGTGCAACATCAGTCACCACAACTTTTGAGATATTCAGACCCTTTGAGATAATTAAGTCCAGAGTGTGCCCCTTATTGTGCGTGGGCTCCGCCACATGCTGAGTCAGTCCATAGTTATCAAGAACACAAAACAGTTCTTTAGCCCCTGTCCTGGGGGTTGTCAACATGGATGTTGACATTAAAACACGAGTCTTGTTAGGAATGTCAGCGTGTCGAGGATTTCATTTACGAGCATGCTATAGTCATGATCATGGCATCATTCGAAGCCCATATAAATGCTCTCTCTGCTCTGTTAAACAATGAAAGATTGAGAGATTTGGATAATTGCAGGAAATGAAGGCTGAAATGAATGGGAGCTTAAATTGAGCGAAGACATTTATTGCGTCTTTATTAAATCTTACATCCAGCTCTCAGGCGGTCTAATTAAACATCTGCAGCGAGCAAATTAGAAGAAAAATTGAAAGCACATTTCAAGATTGAAATAGCTGTCGTGGTATTTTTCTCAGTGAGCTCTATTTCTGAGTATGCTGTTCGGTTGTAATGCTTTTTTTATGTTTAAAGATAACAAATTATGCTAATTTTCAGATTCATTTTTGTATTTTGTGTCTCAACTGTGACATGTTTCCATGCTTTAAAGGTGGGGTAGGTACGTTTGAGAAACCGGCTCGAGATACACTTTTTTGTTATATTCCATGGAATGCTCTTAACATCCCGATAGCAATGAATATCTTAAATGCTTTGACAAAAAATCCATAAACAAATGTCATCTGTGGAAGCCGTAGCGCTGTAAAGAGCACGACCAATCATCTGAGCCGGCCCGGCTAAAGTAACTGGATGGCCTACCTGCCTGTCAGCCTTCCATCTGTGCACAAACTTATCTCGTGCCCTCATTGGTCATGTGCGCGTTCGTGTGTGTTGGAGGAGGGGCTCTGTAAGGAAGTGGCAGATTTGTTCCGGTTGTGTATTTTCAAATTCTAGCACACTCGAGCTGGTTTCTCCAAAATTACCTGCCCCACCTTTAATGTTCAAAAAGCTATTTATGTTTCTTATACTGCCTGTGCTGCAGCACCTCTTTTCATCCTCTGCCTGAAACCAGAGCCCAGTCTGCTCTGATTGGTTAGCTGGCCAGCTCTGTTGTGATTGGTCAACCGCTTAGAAATGTCCCGCCCCTTGGCCTATCACGTACAATGTGTTGGAGCAAGTGTTACACAGTGATGTCGAAATGTTTAAGTCTAATAATATGTTGCAAACTAATATGTTCTGGTTGTCTTGCAATTAAACAACTATACAAATTATTATTATTAGTTTTAGGGTACACGACAACACTGAAACAATAGAAGAAAAAAAAACATGTGTAATGTTTAAACTTCACCACAACAACTTTAATGTCCAGACATTAACCAGTTCAAGAGGAAATACAGAGAAATTATTTTCTCGAGGTACAGGGATGGGGAAGGTGTTTGACTATGTGTATGTGTATATGTGTATATGTGTATATGTGTGAGTATGTAGGTGTGCATATGTATATGTGCATATATGTATATATGTGTATGTGTGTGTATGTATGTCTGTATGTACATATGTGTATATGTATATATGTCAATCAACAGGTAAAGGAGATTATTAATAATAATAATAATAATAATAATAATAATAATAATAATAATAATAATAATAATAATAATAATAATAATAACAATAATAATTAATAATAATGATAATTATTGCAGATTATAGATTATAAATAAATCATTTAGGTACAAGGGGGTGAGATTAAATAAGTTATACTTCTTTTCACTCCTTTTCGAACACTAGATGTGGGACTGTTTATGTTGCTAATGCTGTTGTTGTTGTTGTTGTTGTTGTTG